GCTGACAATCGACTAAATATTGCTAGAAGAGTCTCGTTACTATACGGGATAAACAAATCGTGCCAATGTCGCGCGCGAGTCGCGACCATTTTCGCGCACGTCTCGTGCACGAGACGGTACCGAGACGCGCACGAGACGCGCGCGACAGATCGCGACATGACCGCGACATGAACGCGACAGACCACTAGACGCGCGCGACATGGTCGCGAGTCGCGCACGAGACGCGCCGCGGCTGGGCTGCTTTCGGCAGGCTATTAAATTGCATATTTGCTTTTGTAATGTGTAATTTGCTGTTTGGTGTTGTATTTCACCAGGTAATCAGAACACAAGGTTTATTCGACGCCGAGTTGAGTAAAGAGCGAGACGAAATACAGACAGTTTACCGCGCAAGATGACGGCTAAAACGAAAGTAAAAAAGCCAAGATTTTGTCTGTCGAATTGTTTTGTGTCTGTGTCGAAATGACGAAATATTCGGTTTCAGCTCCATTTGGCACCTATCGACGTCGTGCGCGTCTCGTGCGCGACTCGTGCGCGACATGATCGCGAGACGCGCACGAGGCTGTCGTGGCAATGACGCGCGTGAGAAGTGCGCGAATGTCGCGAGTCGGTACCGTCTCGCGCGCGTCTCGTGCACGACTCGCGCGCGACAATCGCCACTTGGCTCTCCCGTGTTACCGGGAATGGTTTTTAGGTGCTTGCCGAGTTTTCATGTATCTGAAAATCTCCGATCTTTCAATTCACTTGCTACCATATCAATTTATTGCACTAGACTTCTGCTGTAAAAGCCAGAGATTTTTAATTTGGGGTGATTGGTCAAATATGTGTGGAATGTGAGGAGTTGTGTCAGAGCAAGTCTCCAGGATGAACCCCCACCCATGCGAGCTCGAATCCAGTCGGAAAATGGCGAGAAAGTTGGATGGGGTTTGACATGTTGCAATTTTGAGTAAGACAGCATATAATATTGACTTTGAGACGATAGCGCCACACCAAGGACAGTCGGACGGCCAATGTCGGCGATGATTTCGGGATGTGGCGTTTTAGGAATGCTCGGAGTTCCTTGATATCCTGGAAGCAGCCGACACTTTTAGATACTATTACAGGGAAAGATAAAGGAAGCTTCTGATGTTGCACTGACCCGTTTCAGCAGCTCGCTGTCGGCTTCTTTGCGCAGTACGATCCCAAACGTCACCAAGACCGCCCGAGGGTGATTTTCAGGCGGCGAATTCTAAAACCGGAAAAATCTGCGATGTTTTGAAGCATTAATGGTCATTATTAATGTTATCAATTTCGTTATCGCACCTGTTGCATCAATTCGGCCAACAGCCCGATAACAGCCAACGTATCATTGATCCGATGGCCTGTTAATTGGAGCAGCAACGTCGGCGCGGATTTCATCTGAAGATTCATCTGGCGCGGATTTCAACTTTTAGGTCATTTTCGACCCAAAATCACCAAATTTTCGATTTTTCCAAACACTCTCTCAATTTTTTGAAAGCTTTTCCACTTTGAATATGGATAAAAGTTACGAAAAACAGTGCAAAAACATTTTGTTTTGACAAGAAGTGGCCCGAGCAACTCTTACCACTTCAAAAAGGGCCAGTAATTCCGCAATCAGCGAGTGTCCGCCATCCAAACACCGTCGCGAAGGCACGGCTGCCTGAATAGAATATTAAGTATACCGTAATTTCTTTTAATATAACTCCTGAATGCTATTTTTTGGAACCTCTTGAAATTCCACATACTAGGGCCTCCGACGAGAATCCGCGACGCTTCAACCATTTTAACTGAAATTGTGCGACTTCCGGGCACATGTCGAGCAGAATTGAATACGGGTTTCTGAGGATGTCAAGTTCCTGGATGGGGATCGAGAGCTCCTAAAAGACTTTTTGTTACTGGACTGTTAGCGGGGGGGGTAAATTTTGTTTTTACACCTTTTACTAATATGTAATGTATTTTTATAGTGTTTTTAGTAGTTTTTGATTGCTTGAAGGCGGTAAAAATTTAGAAAAAAATTGTAAATTCGCAATTTTTGTCATTTTTGAATCAAATTGTTTCATTTTTATAAGTCTTTTGATTCGTAAAAACTTTGTAAAATGCTGTGAAAGGGTTATTATACTTCGTTCTAGGGTCGTTCGGGATTGAAAAGTTCAAAATTTTGTTCCCCGTTTACCTCCCCGATTAACAATCCAGTACCGGATTTTTAATGGTTCATTCGTGAAACATACGCAATCAAGGTCTCCAGGCATCACATATAACCCGATCGAACGCGGGAAGATGCCTCGAAGTATTCGGTTAAATGCGGAAAGCGCCCGGCGCCGTCCTGTCATTACATCGAGTGCGCAAACCTGACCGGAGTTGACCTCGTCGAGAAAATTGCGTCTGCAATCAACAGACTCGTCAAACGCTATGCCGACAACTCAGAAATGCCGAAAAACACCGACAACGATTCTCCAAGGTTATCTTTTTGGTTGTTATAACTCTTTGGTACTGATGCAGTTAGAGGGGGGGCAGTCCGAAGTAGGTAGTAAGGGGTTACTAGGCGCTCCGCTTAAGCTACTTGGTTTCTGGCTTAAGCTTGGGCTTAACGTAGCTTGAGCAATAAGCTTAAAACCAGGGGGATCTGCGGAAAACAAAAAGATACTTTGGGTGGGGTCCCCCTCTGATATTGCTGAAGAACCTTCAATGCTATGTTTAGTACATACCTATAATACATCCGACGGCGCCAGGGTGTCCGGTGCGAACTTATCGGATAGGTATCGTAGCGGAGAAATATGATACCCCTGCTACAGTGAGGTTGCCGTGACCATTTTATTTCTGCCTCGCCGCATCGTGTCCGACATACGACGCGTACTTCCTGAATATACAGGGTGTGCGCATAAAACAAAACACCCGCCTCTAACTCGACGCAGGGGTATCGGAGCGGAAAGATAGTTACGCCATTCGAAAGCCCTCCAACGGCCAGTTTGCAACAATCTTCAAAACCATGGTTTTATCCAAACGCGCCATTTTGCAAACCAATTTGTACAATTTCGGAGTTGCATACGCGCTAATTTGCAGCAAGTTTCACAAGCAAAAGGTCCGGAAGTAGCCGTTGGTTAGATGCAAAAGCCGTTCCTTCATGTTTTCAAATTCGTTATAAATCGCGCGTTTCAATAAAAAGATCTTTTTGAAAATTGTTGACAACTCGCCGTTTCAAGGGCTGGCGAATGTTATAACTATCGTTCCGTACTTCTGTGTCTAGTAAGAGGGGGTATTTTTTATTGGTACACCTCGTAGTGCGATCATAAAATGGAGCCACAACGATGATGGCACTTACCGCGAATTATTTCAGTGACAGTTTTACCTGGTATTGTAGACATTAACTCAACGGACGGCCCTTTCCCATCCTCTACAAAAACTCACGTCGCGTTTGACGGAAACAATGGCGTCGTAGACGTATTTGCTGGCGAACCAATTTTTTTCCCGACCACCAAGCTCGTTCTTTATCTAGAGGTCGTCATATTTTCTCTTTGGTAGCAAATCGGTTCATGGTCCACGCAAGGGAATACGCTTATTAAGTAAATAAACAAGCAGAATCCGGCTCTTTCGCATTCTCGGGGGGGGATTTTTGTAAAAGTCCAGAAATGTCTAAAAATTAAAAAATATTTATATTACGAAATTTTCGGTCAAAAATCGGCCATTTTTTATCGAAAAGGCTATATTTTTTCTAGTTTAGGATCCTAAGAAAAAATAAATGGTCCCCCCCACCCGCGATAATGCAATAGAACCCATAATCATAGCCGCCATGCGACTGTAACCGGCTTGCAAAATTAATGTTAGTTACCCGATCGCTCGCCCGCACTGCTAATTTCTCACTGCAACCCAGGTGGCCATAAGTAGCTACTTGAAGCGGCAACGGCAGAGCCAGGAATGGGAACGGCATTGTGCCAGCGATTATTCTAAACTGTAAGGTTTTCTAAGCGGGGATCAACTAAGCTATTTGAAAGGAGTTGGATAGCGTATCGGAATGGCATTTGAGGGAGGGGGCCACATCTGGAACATAACAAGATTGCCTGCGGATAATTTTCTGGCCGCCGTATTTTACCATTTCATCAGTGCTCGAAAAAAATGTAGGGCAAATGATGTGATAAGCCTGATCGAGGCTGTAGTCTGTTTATAGCGATACCGATCGGATAATTTCGTTTTAGGGCTAGCATTCGGCAAATTTTCGCCTTGCCGGCCTTTCCAATAGGTCTTTTTTGGTAGCGCAAAGGCCTTGTTCCTGTATTTTATAGTCGAGTAGAGCGGTGGCGGGATAGGCAAAGGCTTGAAATCGGCCCGCCGTCTGGCGCTAATACTTGACAACCTCTCCCACCCGTCTGGCAGCCTATTTAGCCTTCAACGCTGTTCATCAACCTTCACTTTACGTTAAGCAAACTCAAACGGGCGATTTCTGGCCTTCCAAACTGCTAAATTTGGTTAGATTTTGGTGCTGGAATGTTATCGGGGAGAACCAGTTTTCCCCCAGTAAACCGGTAGGGCCATACAACTAAATAGAAATCATCTTTAAAGCATTTTGAAGGGTTCGGATATAAAAAGCACTAAAAATTATAGATCTTCGCCAATTTTCGTGGTTCTTTGAAGTTTTTGGTGAAGAATGTATGAAAAATGGTCAAAATGGGTGAATTTTGCAATTTGTAAAATTAGCTCCCCCGCTAACAGGCCAGTACCTCAATTTCCGCATTGCAAGCTGTACAGCGCAAGACTGTAGCTGTCGACGAAATTTTTGCACGAAAAAGAAAAAGGTTTACGCAACTGTGCTCCGAACAATGCACCGCATTATAGCGTAGCATATCGGAATCGCTGCGGGACTCTGCCCGCTTTCGAGGCGGTTTGATTTTCGTGATTCCTCTTTTCCGGTTTACCCCACCTTGCCCGGCCCGTACCCATGCTTTTGGTTTTAACTTATTTTTCTTCTTTTTGCATGATTTTCTGACCTGTCAATTTTCTCAAATTTAGGCATGAAATACGCGATCTGCTACTTCATCCTGCTCTGCTTGTGCTCGCCGTTCCCCGCCCTGGCCAAACGTGGAGGCGGAAGCTTTGGACGTGGCGGAAGTGGAGCGCGCACGAACCCGTCGAGCAACTCCAACAACCACTATCACGGCGGCGCCGCGTCTCCAGCAGCCGCTCCCGCTCGCCCTGCCCACTACTCCAACAACGGCTACAACCCGAACAACGGCTTCAATCCCAATAACGGCTACAACCCGAAGTTTCACCTGCCAGTTGGCGGGATCAAGCAGGGCGGTTACGGCAAAGTGCATCAGCCGGATTTGAAACCGAAGAAGTCGCACACGTTGAAGAACGCAATAATTGGCGGTGCTGTTGGCGGAGCTGTCGGCGCCGTCGCGGGCGGATTGATCTTCGAGGCCGGAAAAGCGTATATCGGCTCCCGAAGCGCACCCGCTGGCACTTTCGACGACCGCAACTACTATTGGGGCCGCGAGTACTCTCCTCTTTCCGCGGGCCAAATTGAGTGCACCATGCCTGTTGAAAAATTCTTGGAAGGACGGCTGGGACCGAACCAGACGCTACCATTGTTCAAGGTATACTTTCGAGACTAGCTTTTGATTGGTTTACAGGATGGTGACGCGCCGAAAGAAGTCGTTTGGGCATGTAGCTCGTACGAGCGTTGCTGCGAAACGAAGTGCTGCGATCGACTGCGGTACGGCTTGTGGCTTTACTGATTCTACGTTCGTTTAGTACGGTCTATGTACGGGATCGACCAGCCGTCCACCCGTCATCGCCAGATACTGCGAGGATCGTCGCCGTCATCATCGTATTCGTTCTGCTCGCCTGCTGCTGTCTTTGGTGCTGTCGCCGGAGCTCCAAGGATAATTCTCAGAATACGACAATGGAAGACGATATCGACATTCACGCTCCGCCGCCGGCGTACACGCAGCAGGAAACTTGCAAGCCAGTCTACTACCCGACTGCTGGCTACCAGCCTCTCTACCCTAACCAATATCCGCCGAATCCCACCTACTGATTGCTGGATCTTGCACTCACTCGTCCCACTGATATCTTTGTTTCTCGGAAATTTCATCTTCGTATGACGATTGTCTGCTAAGTCCTCGTAATAATTTCCGGCCTTGCTTTTCTTTGTTGCAAACACATAAATGTTGTCTAGCTTTTTGCGTGGTTTTTTCTCCTGGCCTGAAACAGCTTCTGCATTTTGAGCAAGAATCGCTCCCAAATTCCTAGAGAATGTTGACGTTCATTTCTTTTTTCGCCTACCTCGCGGTCCGGGACACCTTGTTCTGAGTGGCGCTTGGATCTCCGCAAAAATCCGAAATCCCTAGCTTCCGTTCCGTGTGGCTCCAAATGATGCCGGGGGTCCCGCGGCGCGCACAGCGGATCGGGCGCACCATCAGAAATTTGATTCTTTTCCCGACGTTTTCCTTTTTTCCTGTTTTCGGGCAAATTCCATTCAAATCTTTTCATTTTTCAGGATGACCCTCGGAGAATCGAACAACCAGGCCTCGGTCGCTGGCGATGAGGAGAACGAGCGTCTAAAACAATACAAAAATGTGGCCAAGCACGAAGACATGCGCCGTCGAAGAACGGAATGCAGCGTGGAGTTGCGCAAGCAGAAGCGCGACGAAACAATGATGAAGCGGCGCAATCTCGTTGACGATGAGAGCGACGATGAGGCCTCGGAGGCACCTGAGGCGGGTGCGCTCAAGGATGATCAGAAGACTGGTTCGTGTTGCGCGTTGGGCTTAAATATGGCTTTTTAGCTCGTGCTCTCCTGTCGTTCGAAGAAGTGATCAAGATTCTGACCAACAACCCGAGCCTCGAAGATATGCGGCGCTGCTTCGAAAGTGTATGCTTGCTTCTGGATTTTTCGCACATTCGTTTTTTAGGTTCGGCGCTCGCTGTCAAAGAGCAAGGACCCACCAATCGACTCTACGATCGAGTCCGGCCTCCTACAAGCCCTCGTTCAAGCGCTCGCTGTCGAGGATGACAAGATTCGCTTCGAAGCGGCATGGGCCCTCACGAACATCGTCTCTGGCACCAGTCGCCAAACTTACGCTGCTGTCCAAGCAGGCGCTACCCGCCCTCTGGTGGAGTTGATGCTGTCGCCGAACCTGGCCCTCTCCGAACAGTGCCTGTGGGCCGTTGCCAACATCATTGGAGACAGTGCGCAGCTCCGTGATCAAGTCATTGGTAACTCCGTTCTTTTGACCAATAATTTGTGTTCTAATAGATAGCCGCGGTGCCGAAGTCCTCGTCCATCTCGTGCAGAACATCGCCGATATGGACGTCTCATTCGTGCGCACGCTGGCCTGGGCCTTCTCCAACATGTGTCGCCACAAGACGCCCAACGCACCGCTTCCCATTCTGCGCGAGCTGGCCCAGGGACTGCGCATTCTGCTCACGCATGATGTATGTTTTTCTATCGGTTTCGCGTCTAATGTTGTGTTTTAGGACAAGACTGTTCGCCAGGACTCTTGCTGGGCGGCGAGCTACCTGACCGACGGACCTGATGAGCAAATCCAGATCGCCGTGGAAGCTGGTACACGGGTTTTCCATTGATCCATCTCAGTTTTCAGGTTTGCCGTCGCTCGTCAAGGGGATGCTCAGTGACAACGATGGTGTACTTGCCCCGGCGCTGCGTGTTCTTGGCAACATGGCCACTGGCAACGATCAGCTGACCCAGTACGTTGTGGACCTTGGTGTCTTGGATCTGCTGCCACGTCTTGTCGAGCGCACCAAGTCGACGACCATTGTCAAAGAATGCTGCTGGCTTATCTCCAACATCATTGCTGGTCAGTTTTTTGTTGACAACAATACTTTTGTTTTAGGCACTCAAGCCCAGATCCAAGCTGTCATCGATGCGAACCTGCTGCCTCTAGTCGTGCAAGTAATGGCCACAGGCGATTTCAAGTGTCAGCTCGAATCGTCGTGGGTGATTTCCAACTTGGCCCAGGTATCAGCCTTCTTTTTTTCCAAAACTCTTATTTAGGGTGGCTCCTCGGAGCAGATTATGCAGCTCTGGCAAGTCGAGGCGATCGCACCGCTTTGTGGGCTTCTCAAGCAGACCAATGTCGAAATGATCGCTAATGTGCTCGACTCGCTGTATGCCCTGCTCACCACGGTTAGCACTTGGTAAGCGCTTTTTTTATATAGAGTTGCCCGCGATATGTAGAAACAAATTCTAGTTTGTTATTTTATTTCTTTAGTTACCCCCAGCGTCTCGACATGGTTCGGGAATCCATCGAAGAAAACTCGGGCCTTGACCACCTGGAGGGATTGCAAGAACATGAAAGCGAGCGGATCTACCAGGGCGCCTACAAGATTATCCAAGAGTTCTTCAGCGAAGACGAAGACGACAACGTCGAGTTCGACGCCAACGACGAGAATCAGCCTGTCTACAATTTCTAAGTCGACTTTCGTGTTAGATTCCCCGTCGCATTGTCTCGTTTTTCTCCACTTCCAATTTGTGATTGCTTTTTGGCCAAATCCCGCTCCATATGATCTTTTGAGTTGTCGACATTTGCGGTGAAATACACGATTGATTTTGACTATATTGTGGCACATTGCAGTTTCCAAAGCGGGCACATTAAGAAGCTAAAGATACAATTTATGCGAACATCAAAATTAATAGAAACCATCACAACGAAAGTTGGGATACCCGCTGTAATCGGACATTGAAAACCAAGCAATTATTCATTCGGGCTGCGTGGTGTACTTCTCCTTGATCTGGGCGAACATTCGTTTGAAGAAGCCCTTCTTCTCCGACGGCTGATCCTCTTCCATCGAAAACTCGACGATGCCCTTCGTAAAGCACTGCAGATCGGGTACCTCCTTCTCCTAAACGGTATTGGTCCGGAAGTGGAGGCGAACACATACCGCGTCGGCGCCAGTCTGCGAACAGGTCAGCCGAGCCACCGGGGTGCCGATCGAGACGCCAGACGAGCGGCCCTGGTATGAATACTTGCAGGAAGGCGCATATTAGGGTACCCTTATCCTTGTTGCTTTCGGGGTAACAGATGTGTCTTCTGTGGAGCCAGTCGCTTGGCCTCCTTGCTCCATAGGCGTTCCCGTGGTCGGCTCGCGATCGACGAAGATCAAGGAATCATCACCTGAAACCTAGACTTTAGGAGAGATCGGCCGGCGCAAACCAGGGTTTAACTTCCCAGATTTTAGCCCAGGAATTTCGTCCAAAAGAACCCTAACTTCCTTACCGTCGAGCTTTCGGCTCTTCTCGGGCGCCGTTGGGGTAGCATCGGGCGTAGCCTTGCGCTTCCTGCTGGCCTGCGCCTCTTCCTTAGCCCGCCTTGCCTCTTCCTCCTCGAAGACTTTGATTTGCTAAAATCCGGCTTTGCAAAACGTAGTTCGGGAAAGCCTCACCGCCTGCGTGTGCATCTCCACCCATGTCTCCCAGGGCGGAATCGTGAAGACGTGTGCCTCGTGCTGCAAAAATCGGGGCCATTTTAGGTTGACGTTAGAATTTAGCGACATTACCTAGCTCATTCGATAAAGATTAAAATTCTGAAACAGTCCCCGTTTTCAAAAAATTGCTGAACGTTTATGAAGAGTTGCTTGAAAAAATTCGCTCTTTTATTTCGCCTATTTTTGGCCGCCGGGACATGTTCAGGATTTGAAGCTCCATCGAATAGGCTAGCTGGCATGCAAAAATCCGCCACCACCCAAAAACGACCCCTTCTGGGCAAGCCGGATGAAATGAAAACCCTCACGTCGTTCAAGCGCGGAAAATGCATGTTGAAGCCGGCGTAGTAGAAGAGCTTCTTGTCGTCGATGCTATTCGGGCGCGGGACAATCTTTTTGTTGAACACGGTCAGCGAGGGCTCGTCAGTGTGGAAGTGCAGGGTCTGAAGGAAATATGTCGATATAGAAATGTAGAAACGTAACGGATGAGCAGGCCCGTTTTTCTTTCTTAGGAGGAGGAGGGGGGGGGAGGAGGATTAGGCGAAAACACGATATTTGTTGTTTTTCACCCAAAATTTGTGAATTTTTAATTTCTGGAACCGTAAAAATAGTTGAACAACACTTCCGCTATCTACATTTACAAACAAATTGTATCCTAAGAAAGAGTTTTATTCCCCGAAAATGCGACCAAGTTACCGACATCATCTCCGGAGCTTTGCCGCGTGAGCGCCTGCTTCAGGTAGGCGGGCGGGTAGCCACGGATGAAGCCCATGCGCCGCATGCGATAGATGTATTCGGGCAGATCGTTTTCTCCTAAATTTATTTGAACCGTTCCTCAACCCAATAGTTACCAATGCCAAGCGCCCGCCGCAATTCGTTGCCGATACGGCCGACACGGAACTTCGACGGCCCGCCACTTTCGCCCTCTTTCTCATCGGCATGGTAGCGACCCAAGCTAATACGTGGTGTTTGGCAATAGAGTCTAATCCTTACCTCTCCTGACTGCGGCGACTGTCTTGAAACTGGCGACGCGCCTCGTTGATCTTTCGCTGGTTGCGCCGCTCGGGGCACGCGTTCATGTTGTGCGGGCCGTCGCAATTCCAGCAGCTGGCCTTCGGTGTCTTGTTCTGCTTGGCAGACGGCGGCGTGTCGACCGAGGCATGGCTGAGCAGCTTCGAGTAGATGTCCGAACTCCAGTCTTTCGAGTCGTGTTTCCTGCAACAATAAAATTAGCTATATGTCGGCAGTGGCCCCTGTTTTTGATGAGTTGGAAAGAGTTTACTTTAGCGCCAACAAACTCAAAAATCTCAACTCAAGCGTTTCAAAATTTGCTAAATTTGGGTATTTTTCGGGATTTTCTCAACGCCATTCGCTAGAGCGTCGAAAAATATACTAATATATATGTGTTTTAGTTGCAGTTCAAAATAATGCAAGATAGAAAAGTTATAGCAAAAACCTTCCGGCTGCGGGGCGGAGGGGGGGTAAAGTTAAAACCGTAGCCGATGACCTATTCTAGCAAACGCATTTTTCGAGAACGAAGCAGTGCCAGAAACTCACTCAGCCTCATAGGCCGTTTCATGCTCCTGCGTCTCCACTCGGTCGACGACAAAGTTGTCGTACTGCTCACACACCAGAATCTCGGGGTCGATCGTGGGCTCGGCGGGCTCGACGATTTCGCACGAATCGTCGCTGAGTTCGCCCTAAACGCTTTTGAAAAGGACAATTCACGGAATGTAAACCTCGGAAAGTTCGATGGGCTTCACCGGCTGGACCTTGGCCTTTTTCTTGCTTTTTCCCATCGTCGAGGGGTGTGCTTGATAATTAGCGCGAGTGTTATACGCTGTAAATTACCAGATTACTTAGTTAATAATAGAAAAAAAAGAAAGAAGAAATATAGAATTTCACCGGATATTTAGCTTTTTTGGAGTTGGAAAGCTCGGTTCGCTCGAACCGAGCCCGACGCGGCAGTGCACTGGACGGAGTTACCCCGTCCCAACTACGCTAAATTCGGAAATCGCTCGGGAGGAAATTCAAGTTTTGAAAAAAGGTTTAGAAAACTATAAATAAACGCTGCCCAATCATATCGAGCCAAAAACTACCCACTTCCTTCGATGTCAAGTCCGCGGCAAACTCCTTATTTTGTCCCCGGCGCCCCCTAACAGCGTCTAGTCACGTTAAAAAACGTTTTCTTGCATTTTAAAATGTCGAACTCTGCCCTTTTTTACTCTTTCTGACATTTCAAAACCTCATGGCCACTTGTTCAGCTCGCTCAACATGGACGCCGATTTGTATGACGAGTTCGGCAACTACATCGGGCCCGAGCTCGACAGCGACGACGATGACGAGGCCGAGGAGCGCTCTGACGAGGATCGTGATCGCGAGGATAATGAGCCGGTATGAATTACGGCGCTTCGGCAGATATGCTATTTTAGGAAGAGATGGAGGAGGATGAACCAGAGGGAGGAGTGCCGCAGAATCAGATCGTGCTCCACGAGGATAAGAAGTACTACAAGACGGCTCTCGAAATTTACGGTGAAGAGGTTGGTTCTCTCTTTCGACTGGAGATTGACTATATATGAATTGTGCCACCATATCAATCTCGCATTCAGGTCGAAACCCTCGTCCAAGAGGAAGATGCCCAGCCGCTCACCGAGCCCATCGTCAAGCCCACACAGCAGCGCAAATTCCAAGCCACCGAGCACAATCTGCCGCAGACCACCTACAACAAGGAGTACCTGGCCGATCTGATGGACTGCCCGCACGTCATCCGGAACGTCGCCATCGCCGGTCATCTTCACCACGGCAAGACGACGTTCATGGACTGTCTGATGGAGCAGACGCATCCGGATTTCTGCCGAGCGGAAGACCAGGACACGCGCTACACGGACACGCTTTTCATCGAACAGCAGCGCGGCTGCTCAATCAAATCCATGCCCATTTCCATCGTCATGCAGGACTCGCGCAACAAGAGCTATCTTCTCAACGTTATCGATGTCCCGGGTGAGCTTTCATTTATTTACAGTACCTGGGAATTACCAGCAATTTTTTTTGATTGGTAAATTACTTCTGAGAACCCAAATTCTTCATTTCTTCAATGATGATTTTAGGTCACGTCAATTTCTCCGACGAGATGACAGCCGCCTTTCGAATCGCCGACGGCTGTGTGCTGGTCGTCGACGCGCACGAGGGTGTCATGATGAACACTGAACGGGCTATCAAGCACGCGCTCGCCGAGAAGCTGCCCGTGGTGCTCTGCATCAACAAGATCGATCGTCTCGTCCTCGAATTGAAGGTGAGCTGGGCTTTTGTAGCTAAAACCTGGTGGGCGGTCATTTTTCGAACGGCTAGATTTCCGAAAGTCACCTTTTGAAGCTTCAGTGTGGAAAAGTTTAGTTGCTTATCTTTCCAGTAGGGATTTCGAAAAAATGCTCTGGCAGGCATTCCTTTTCGGGAAGAAATCGCTTTGCCGAAAAGATGATTTTCGGCAGCATTTTTTTCTAAAACGTAGCTGTAAACCCGAGGAAGCATTTCTGATTTAGCTGCCCCCGGCGGACGCGTACTACAAACTACGCCTGATCGTCGACCAAGTTAACGGGCTCATCAGAACGTTCTCCGACGAGGTCGAGCCCCCGCTCATCTCCCCGCTGAACGGCAACGTCATTTTCTCCTCGGGCCGCTACAACATCTGCTTCTCGCTGCTCTCCTTTGCCAACGTCTACGCCCAGTCATCTCGTACGTTTGGAGCCTTTGTCATATTTTATTGGTTCTTTTCAGCAAAGCTCAATGCGAACGAGTTTGCACGCCGGCTCTGGGGCGACGTCTACTTCCACCCGGAAAAGCGCTCCTTCACGAAGCAAGCCATTGACTCAAAGTCGGTGCGCACCTTCGTCCATTTCATCCTCGATCCGCTCTACAAAATTTTCAGCCAGGTAAATTCGTTGTGGAAACCTCGAAAATATTTTTGTTGTAGGTGGTGGGTGATGTGGACACGTGCCTGCCCAGTATGATGTCCGAACTGGGAATCAAGCTGTCGGCCGCCGAGCAGAGGATGAACGTCCGCCCGCTCGTCGCCCTGATCTGCAAGCGTTTCTTTGGCGATTTTAAAGGTGCTTATTGTCGGCTTTCGTTATTTTACTTTTTTTCAGCTTTTACCGACATTGTTTCCCAGCACATCCAATCGCCAAGCGACAATGCGCAGAAGAAGGTCGAGCACTGCTGGACCGGGCCCATGGACTGCCAGCTGGCCACCGAAATGTTCAAGTGTGATGCGAGTGTAGGGCAATTTCGAGGGGGTAAAATATATAGATTTTTTAGGGCCCTCTGATGGTGCATACCGTCAAGAACTATCCTACAAATGACGCCACATCTTTCCGCGTGCTTGGCCGTGTGTTGTCCGGAACGATCAACTCGGGACATGATGTAAGTTTTGCTTGCAAAGCAAATTTTCTCTATGACCGTTATCGCTCAGCTGTTTTTGGAAAAATGGGAATTGTGCAGAATTTTCGACTATCGAATGCCCTATGTCCCATTGTCACCTAAAAACGACGCCTTTTTTAGTTGCGAGTGCTCGGCGAGAACTACAGCATTCAAGACGAAGAGGACTGCCGGCTGATGACCGTCGGACGGCTTTGGGTGCCGGAAGCAAGGTTTGCAAGATTTTGCTGTTTCGCTGATTATCATGCTTTAGATACGACATCGAGGTCTCGCGCGTCCCCGCCGGCTGCTGGGTGCTGATCGAGGGCATCGACCAGCCAATCGTCAAGACGGCCACCCTCGTCGAGACGGAATGGCATGAGGATGTTGGCGCTTTGTGTTTTCGACGTTATTTTTTGCCTTTAGTTGTACATCTTCCGCCCGCTCAAGTTCAACACCAAGTCCGTGGTGAAGCTGGCCGTCGAGCCGATCAACCCCAGCGAGTTGCCGAAAATGTTGGATGGCTTGAGAAAGGTATATTCGACGACATGTTGTTTTTGGACATCTCGGACTTTCCCGAAAATCACTTAGCTGAAATGAGAATTTCTATAACGTTATTGCACCCGAATAGTTTTTTTTGCCGAAGATCAGAACCTGAAACCACAAATTGTGACGTGGATTTATTTGGTTTAAACTTGAACTGAAACTGTCTTTTTTGGCGCTGCACACGTGAACATCTCCCATTTGCAGGTCAACAAATCGTATCCACTGCTCACCACGAGGGTCGAAGAATCCGGCGAACACGTTCTGCTTGGCACCGGCGAGTTGTACATGGACTGCGTGATGCACGATATGAGAAAGGTATTGTCTAAAGCCACGTTACTCAATTTCCGATTACCTAGGTCTTCTCCGAGATCGACATCAAGGTGGCCGATCCGGTGGTCAGCTTTTGCGAGACTGTCGTCGACACTTCCACGCTCAAATGCTTTGCCGAGACGCCAAATAAGAAGTGGGTGATTGGCATAGTCTCACAAGCTCTTTTTTTGCTCAGGAATAAGCTGACGATGATCGCCGAACCACTCGAAAAGGGCCTGGCCGAGGACATTGAGAACGAGGTCGTGCAGATTGGATGGAATCGGCGGAAGCTCGGCGAATTCTTCCAGACGAAATACGAATGGGACTTGCTGGCGGCTAGGTATCCATCGTTATTTGTTTTCAGTTGATTTTGTTATTTTAGGAGTATCTGGGCATTTGGACCCGACACGACCGGCCCCAACATTTTCATCGACGACACGCTCCCGTCCGAGGTTGACAAGCAACTTTTGGGGTAGTTTGGTTGCTTTTTGACAAAATTGTATCCTTTTAGGAGCGTTCGCGAAAGTCTCGTTCAAGGATTCCAGTGGGCAGCTCGTGAGGGCCCTCTATGTGAAGAACGTAGGAATGCGCTTGGTTTTCTGAACTTTCTTTTTTTTTAGCTATTCGGAACGTCAAGTTCAAGCTGCTCGACGCCACCATTGCCCCGGAGCCACTACACCGAGGTGGCGGCCAAGTGATCCCAACGGCCAGGAGATGTGCCTATTCGGCGTTTTTGGTACATTTTTACCTTTTTTAGCCCAGACATTTTACAGAACTTGAGATTTATAAAATGCAAAGTTAGCCATTTCATTTGAAATCTTTAGTGTTATACGTTTCTCTACGTTTTCTAAGTGCTTTTTGCACTGATAATATAGCTACGTTTTTTAAAGCGCCATGAATACTCTTAGTATCATTTCTAAGAGAGTCTGGCTTATAAGAAAAAAATCGGCTTGGCCGAAACGTGCTTCAAGTTCTCAAATAAATCTCTCGTTTTTAGATGGCGACACCGCGTCTGATGGAGCCCTACTACACGGTAGAAGTCATCGCACCGGCTGACTGTGTGAGCAGTGTCTACACGGTACGAGACGTTTCCGAATATTTTCATTGAAGATTTAGGTGCTTGCAAAACGTAGAGGCCACGTGTTCAAGGATTCGCCAATCTCCGGCTCTCCCATGTACACGATGAAGGCATACATCCCGGTGATGGATTCGTTCGGCTTCGAGACCGACCTCCGGACGCACACGCAGGGCCAGGCGTTCTGCCTCTCCGTCTTCTCGCATTGGCAGGTATATTGAGCAATTCTAGGCAGCAGCTAATCCGTCTGTTCAGATGGTGCCCGGCGACCCCTTGGACAAGAGCATCGTCATCCGGCCGCTCGAGCTGCAGCCGGCCGCTCACCTCGCCCGCGAGTTCATGATCAAGACGCGGTACGCTTTGTGGATTTTGGGCTGGGCTTTTAACGGGGGTTTCTCCTCTGTTACCGTAGTGTTTTCTGTCACAAAATCGCGAATATTTGATAGATTTTAGCGTTTTTCAAGTATATAAAGATCATACAAATATTTCTTTTATGTCGACAATTTTTTCTGCTCAAAAGTTTTGGGAAAATGTTCCAAAATGGCCATACATTTTCAATATTTGACGATTAAAAAGGGTTTTGAAACGGCTTTCTGATTAAACGTTACAAAAAACTTCAAGACGCGGTGGTGACTATTATTTTTATTTCCAGACGACGCAAGGGCCTCTCCGAGGACGTCTCCGTCAACAAGTTCTTCGACGACCCCATGCTGCTCGAGCTGGCCAAGCAGCAGGACTTCTACTCCGCCTTCTAGACCCTGTTACCGCCATTCCCACTCATTTTTATTTATTTCCTTGTTGCCCCCGGGAAATTTGGCCGGGGTGTTTCCGAATTTGTTACCCGCATCTCTATCTGTCCCTCGCAGTTCCCCGGTTGTCGGTTGTAAGCTGTTTCCCCACTGTTGTCTTCGACTTTTGTGATCTCTCGCGGAATAAAGATGGTTCCACTACGGGTTTTCGTTTTTTATAGCCAACGAAATTTCATCTAACCGAAAGATTAAGAAAGCTTTTTTCGATTTGACGAAAATTCGGCCAGAAGTAAGTTAACGAGAGTATTCCGTTTTTCGGTACTTATGCATTTTGAGGAGGGGTATTCCTGCGTTGGAGTAGGAGGCTACGAGGTTTTTAGCTTCGCCTAGGCTTGACTTGGCTTTAACCATGCTTAGCTAGCTTCAGCTTCACCGCGAGCCCAAGGGATCTGACGTTGAAAGGCTCAAGCTCAAAATAGGCGTTCTGTAGGGCGCAGATTACAGTCAAGCTTAAGCTGGCTTAAACTAAGTCTAGGCTTTTTTCCTATGAAGCTACTCGCAGGCTTAGGAGCTTAGCTTTTCTGGAAGCTTAGAGTCTCAATAACAAAGTCTGCAGCGTCCGGTGGTTCAGCCCAGGGCCCGCCACGTGTATCAGCACTCATTTTTCATCTGATTTGCACTTTCTTAATATCAAAAACTTTATTGCCAATGCAATTCCTTTTTGACAGGAGTGCGAAGAAATGATTGAGAGAGGGGGAAGAGACTGGGGTTTACAGGTAAAGCACATCCATTGCACCGTAGTGTTTGGGGGGAGGGCGAAGCGTTTTTCGGGTGTTTTTTTTTTAGAAAAATACACCCAAAATGGCGTCAAAAAAAAACGGGAGATCCCTCTGAATGATCCATGGGCGAGGCGGAAATAGGGTGGGGTGAATTTTGGCGCGTTTCAAAGTGAGCCAAGACTTTCTGCTACTGTGCCGCTTCGGTTAGCGCGAAAATTCACCGCCAGTAGATGAAGAACGCGTGAAAAAAGGAGTCAGGCTTGGTCCCGTACGGCTTCAAAGTGAGTGGGTGGGGTGGAGAGGTCGAGGATGGTCGGGGAACTAGAATCAGGAAATCACAAATAAAATAACAATTTTTGAATATATCATATTTAGACGGTGGCAAGAGCTATTTTCGAATAAATGCTACACCGGGATTGTTTTACTGGGGGAACAACAAAGGAAAAAAGGTTCACCGAAGTTTCAGGCTAGGGAATTATGACCGAAAACAATAGGGGAAAAAGGAGAGAGAGAGAGAGAGAGAGAGAGAGAGAGAGAGCGAGAGAGAGAGAGAGTGAGTAAAAGTGAGAGAAATGGAGCATCATCGATGCCTCTTCTGCAGGGCTGCACCGTTTGATGGGCTCGGCGTCGAGCCGAAGCCGCTCGAAGCGTCCTCGCGCAGCACGGTGGTACACTAAATAATGCTGTAAAAGAAATAGAAAATATACTTTATTCTTTTCTATAACAAGTTTTATTAAAAACACAAAATCGATCGATTTGCCAGCAGAAATTGACGATTTTCGAGCAAAATTGCAGCAAACAAATTTTTATACGTGTTTTTGATTATTTTTTTTACTTGCAATCAGTTAAATTTTGTTACAAAATATTAAAACTTACTATTACGGTCTAAACGCGCTTTATAAGCTTATAGGAAAAGAATTCGGTGCCGAAATGCACTCACTCCCTCCCTCCCTGTCTCTCTCTCTCTCTCTCCAAGAGTACCAACCTTGAGCCCCTCATCCGTGGTGGTCTCGGCCTCGCTGCCCAGCCCGTCCTCGGTGGCCTTCTCCTCCTCGACGATCGTGATCTACAAGGCGTCAAGTGCCAGGCAATTTCGCCAATATTACCGTATCATTCTGCTTCGCCCGATGGCGACGTTCGCGCTCCCGTTGCCGCTCTTTCCGCCGTTCACGCCGCCGCCTCTCACGTTCCACGTCCGTCACCGGGACGCATTCGGAGATGTCCTCCATGATCACCTCCTGCTCAACGGTCTGGATCAGCCACTCGAACGTCAGGAACTCGATGAGGTAGAAGAGGATGCGGAAGAAGAGCCGGATCAGTGCGCCGGCTATCTGAAGAGGGGGATACGATTACGCGTGGGAATCCGTACCCTGCCGCTGAGGTATATGAGGGGGAAGACGACGAAGAAGAGGATGCCCCACGCGTAGATTGTTGGCCGGTATTCCAGACCGGAAGTGGGGGATACCATCTGAAAATGTGGGAGTGAGAGAGAGAGGGAGAGGGAGCGAGAGAGAGCGAGAGAGAGGCAGAGAGTGCGAGAGAGCGAGAGAGACAGAAAGTGCGAGAGAACGAGAGAGAGAGAGAGAGAACGAGAGAGAATTCGAAACACAAAACAATACTCAATAATTTATTCATAAAAACAACTCAAAAATCGAATTCTGAGAACCTGGCGGTACCTCTTCAGCTGGTAGTTGTCGTTACTGCTTGCGGTCGTGGTCCTCGTAGATGAGAAAGTGAATGGGGACAACGTGACCCCCGGGAAGTGCCACCTCCTCTCGATGCCGGATCAGTGCCACGGCCGCCAGGCCGTACAGCACGCACGGCAGTCCTGGAATGAGAAGTGGGTTAGGCTTAAGCTTAGGCCTCGGCTTAGGCTTGGGCTTAAACCTAGGCTTAGGCCCAGGCTATAAACGTCAACCCGTACCTAGATTGACGATCGTGATCACCCGGAAGAGGTTGTTCTCGAGGCTGAGGTCCTGGTGGGGGCGCTTCGTGCAGTGATACTTGATGTACGGATACGCGCCGGTCCTGCAAACGGTGATTTAGGTCTGCAGGCTTCACGCTAGAGCCTGAGACACAAGATGAAGAATTGCATAAAATCACTTAAAATGCAATGATATCCCTGTAGTTTTAGGCTTAAGCTAGGCTTAGGTTTAGGCTTGGGCTTGGGCTTAGGCTTAGGCATACGCTTAGGCTTAGCCATAGGCTTCAGCTTAGGCTTAGGCTTAGGCTTAGGCTTAGGCATTGGCTCAGTCATGGACTTAGGCTCAGGCGTAGGCTTATGCTTAGGCTTGGGCTTAGATATCGTTGAGCTTCAGCTGGTGCTCATCTTACAGTGCGCTCAAAGACCCATTATTTGCCTAGGCTATCGAAAAGCAATAAACCCCCTCTCTCCGCTATATTTTCCAAGTGATTCACATCGACAGTTTAGGGGGTAAGCGGCCCCCTCCCAAAAACATTTTCTTGACGTTGCGAAGAATGAGAGGAGCGCGTGTAAATGCTGCATAAATATTTAGGGAGGATGGGGGAGCAGAAAGACAGCTCTTTTTTGCCTAAAAAGCGTATTTGTGTCATTATAGACAGGGGAGCACGAGCTAAATAGCATTTTAAAGGTACCGGGAAGTCAGAAAAACATATAGGCTAGTTGAACTGGTGGAGTAGCCATGTTCCGCCCGACCAAAACGCCGGCTAGCAAATCCGTTCCAGATGTGAACGGCGAAATGGGAGGAGCCGTAAAGGATCATGACTAAAAATTGGGGCAGAGAGAGAGAGGGGGGGAGGGAGAGAGAGAGAGAGAGAGCGAGAGAGAGAGCAACCAAAAAACCCCGTCCAACCAGTTAAATCTCAAAAATGACAACTAGCCAAGCAGCTGGCGGGCGGCTACTCAAAGTCAGCGCATCGGTAAACAGATAAATTACAGAGGAGTGGCCCGGTCAACAAAGGGAGTTCGGTGATGAAGCTTAAGAAAAATGTAGCGGATCTTGAGTGGTATTTTTCAAGATAAAGCCGATTTAGAATAGCAGGAACATGAGCTTAGCTTCGGGAATAAGCCCGGGTTTTGGGCTTAGGCTTGGGCTTGGGCTTAGGCTTAGGCTTAGGCTTGGGCTTAGGCTCAGGCTTAGGCTTCTTATGCGGAGGCCTAGGCTCTGGCTAAGGTTAAGACTTAGGTCTGGCTCAGGCGTTGAACGAGGGCTGCGCGTCATTTTGAAGGGTCAGCAAGCCGAGGGTCAGCGAGAGGAGAAAGAAACGGATGCAAATGCCAAGCCCTTCATTCAAATGGCCCCCGGGGCAGCAGACGCCCCCCTGGCTGGACCTAGTGAGGGGGGGGGGGGCAATCTGGCGGGCAAATCGACACCACCAACCCTGCGGCTGGCTTTAGTCAGCACAGCCCATGAAAGGGCATGGTAAGGCACCCAGGCTAGCAGAGATTCTTTAGGAAAGGGCAGGCTAGCAGAGATCCTTTAAAAAGGGCAGGCTAGCAGAGATCCTTTAGGAAACCTGCAGAATAGCTTTAGCAAATGTCTACGTCCAAAAAACTGCTGATAAGCCTGAAAAATCGTCGTTCTCGGCCCAAGTGTCCCCCAAAAAACGGTGTGGTAAACAAGGTGCCCGATTTCAGCTGGGCAGAACCAGCGAAATGGGGCGCGGGGCAGAACGCCCCCCAAAAAAACTGGAGACGCCAGCTGTGGGCGGCGTGCCGTATCCAAAAAATGCGCTGAAATCCGAGCCGCGTTCGTTTTTTGCGCCCCATTCGCCCGCCCACAAAATGATCGATTTCGGGGGTTGGATTGTGTTGCGCAATGGTCATATTTCGTTCTCTCTCTCTCTCTCGCTGTTATGGCGCAACTTTTTAGGGCCACCTGTCGATTCCTATCTGACAAATGGCTTCCGGGGATTTCTTTAAAAGATCTCTGCCGGCTTGTCAAGAGATAAGAAGTTAGAGAGAGAGAGGGGGAGAGAGAGAGAGAGCTACAATCTAGCAAAGGATCTCTGCTAGCCTGCCAAAACGCTAGAATTCTTGACGCGGGTCTTAAGGGGGAAGGACCAGCTCCAAAATAAATCGAAACTAGCTTATGCAGTCGATAGGGGCAAGAGATAGAGACAGAGAAAGAGAGAGAGAGAGACGCAAAGATCGGTCTTAAGCAAGGTCATTTCACGGGACACACAAGGGGTGGCCCTTTTCCAGGGGGGTGAAATATTGACGGCCAGGGAATGGGGGGAGACGTCTAATGGATAGTCGCGTAGCCCGCGGTCAAATCGCCGGCTGAAGGAGACAAATTTTCGAATTTCGCCCCCCAGCTATGGCCTTGTTCGGGCAAAAAAGAGGCTGAAAAAGCGCAAAACGTTTCAAAAAGCTGCTAAAAAAAGTGTGACGAATTTTAAAGGGACTAGCAAGTCAGAATCCATAACTTTTTTTACACTTTTAAAGGAATATGGAAGCCAAACCTCCATACTTTTCCCACTTTAAAGGAGCGTGGAAGGCAGAATCCATGGTTTTTGCCACTTTAAAGGAAAGTGGAAGGCAAACCCGAGACGTCTGCAACTTTTAAAGGAACTAGCAAGTCAGAATTCATATATTTTTCACTTTTAAAGGAACATGGAAGCCAAAACCCATGGAACCCTTTGAAACCCGAAAATCCGTAAGTTTTAAAAGTACTTTCAACGCAGTATTCACCCAAAAATCATTCGCAACACGGCATTGTTAACCCGGGATTTCAGGCCGTAAAATCGAGCCGAAAAAAGTCGAGAAAAAGCGCCGCCCGCCCCAAAAAAACGGCCCATAACTTTTTATGGGCGCCGCCTGGCCGGGGTGGTCGTTTTTGAGGGCGGAAAAGGGTCGAAAATACGATTATTGCCTCGGGAAAGGGATGAAAGAGAAAAAAGACGATCGGGGAGAGAAGAGGGCGCGGATAAGGCTTTAAAGGGATTGGGAAGTCAAGTGCAGCGAGCTGGACTCGTCCAGATGGAAGAGATTCTTTAGGAAAGGGCAGGCTAGCAGAGATTTTTTAGGAAAGGGCAGGCTAGCAGAGATGCTTTAGGAAATACATAAATTTACACTACGGCTGAGTGAGGGGTGAAAATGAGGTGTCACCACAAAATATGAGTGGCGCCCAGGAGTGGAACCTGTTTTGAGGCCTGGGGCAATTTAGGGAGAGAGAGAGAGAGAGAGAGAGAGAGAGAGAGAGAGAGATCGAGAGAGAGAAAGACAAAAAACTGCATCAAAACGGTCATCCCGAGTGCAGACTCTGGCTCCCGGGGAACAAAATTGAGCAGCGCTAACATGCCAAAACGGATATCCATCAATTTTGCGATGTTTCTCTCTCTCTCTCTCTCTCTCTCTCTCTTTCTATCTATCCCTCATCAACAAAGAAAAACTGAAAAAGCGCCGCGGAAATCCGGGGAAATCGGAAAACCAACATTATTTTAGGGAAAACCGGACGAAAATCTTAGTTTATAGGATTTCTGCGACTTGCGGGCCCCTTTAAAAGCGGAAAGATGACAAAAGAGAAATTGATGATGATTGTTAAAGCGATAAATAAAGATTTAAGCGCTTAAAAAGTCAATAAAATAGGGGAAATTGTCCGAAAATTCAGAAGATAAATATAGAAAGTATTTAGATATTAAATAAGTGGATTGAATAACAAAACACTTTCGAAACCTCACTATTTTTCAACCAGAGACCTGGGGACAACAAAATTTCGGGAGGGGACGGTGGGAGGGGCAGCCGGGTGCTCTCGGATTTTTTTTTGGGAGAGTGCCAAAATGACTCAGAGAGAGAGAGAGAGAGAGAGAGAGAGAGAGAGAGAGAGAGAGAGAGAGTGAGACTGCAAAAAAGCTAGGCGGCCCCCGAAAAAGTGAGGAAAAGGAGACGCACGTGACGCGTTGCCGCTCCCCCAAAAAGTGCTGAAAAACCTGGGAAAACGAACAAGTGCAAAAAAATTACGTGGGAATCCAATTTACATACGCATCTTTATATTTCGATCGCTTTAAAAATCGGAAAAGCAGTTTGGATAGACCGTAAAAAGGCCAGGATCGGAATCGCGAAACTCTGGGCAAATAGAGACACGATCCCATAGGTGGGCGCGGGGTTGGTTTTTAGGCAAAAGACTGCGATCAAACAAGGGTGAGGGAGAGCGAGAGCGAGAGAGAGAGAGAGAGAGAGAGAGAGAGAGAGAGACAGAGTCAAACATTCGCAAGCTGTTTGGGGGCGATGATCCGAATCTTATCCTAGAACGTGGGCCGCACAATGGGATCCACCAAGTATTCAAATCGGAAATCGAGAAGAGAGAGAGATAGCGAGAGAGAGAGAGAGAGAGAGAGAGAGAGAGAGAGAGAGAGAGAGAGAGAAGGAGAGAGAACGAAACAACGCAAGATTTCCAAGGTCAAATTCGATCCCGTCCCTTGCCCGGAATTTCTAAAGGTCTTGTGAAGGCAAATTTTCCAGCTAGGAATTTCTAAAGGCCTTGGGAAGTCAAATTTTCCAGCTAGGAATTTCCTAGGGTGTTGCAAACTTCCGCTAGATGGGGGTACTGGGCTGGAACGGGCCAGGTGGCCCCAATCCATCAAGTGATCGGGACGGGGGACAGCTGATCGGCATTGAGCGATCCGTCTCCATCAGTCGTTAAAGGGACAGGGACATCGGGGTGATTGGCATTATGCCAGGGGCGAGGATTGGACAAGTTCAGGTTTGGAAAAGTGGAGAGAGGGAGAGAGAGAGAGATAGAGTGAGAGGGAGAGAGAGAGATATTCCAAAAGCCCTCTTTCTAGCCATTCCGCGACACTCCTATCTTCATGCAAATTCAAGTAGCGCTACGGAGACTTGCTTGAATATTCAGGCCGAGCTGTCTGGGATGATGCTAATGAAATGGAAAGTGAGAGAGAGAGAGAGAGAGAGAGAGAGAGAGGAGAGAGCGAGAGCGATACACCATGTATTAACAGGAACGACTAGCGAATTGATCGAAGCCAAGCGACTACACTACACAACATGTACACCCCAACAATGGCCACTTTTAGCGGGTATAAATGCGAAATTGGCTAAATTTTGGCGGTGTTGCGCGTGTTCCGAGAAGTGCCTATTGACACCCAGGAGAGACAGGGAGAGAGAGAGAGAGAGACAGCGAAAGCTAGAGAGGGCGAGAGAAAAATAGTAAAAAAGCAAGAAAGGAGACCCATTAACAAAGTGCAAGCTCCGGCTCTGACCCCTGAAAAAGAACGCTCCCATGTCCTGGATGCACTTTTTTGGGCCCTCGCAAAAACATCCAATACCCGACTTAGAAGACATGGCCTCGAAAACAGCCCGAAAAAAGGCGTCTTTATGTGGGAGCCGGGGGGTGGCTAACAACATTCCTGGGCGTAAGAATGTCGAAAAAGAAAAAAATAGCGCAGAAAATTTATCAAGCAGCTAGCGAGAGAGAGAGAGAGAGAGCGAGAGAGAGAGAGATGTACTTTAGGTCTTAACATGCTTCCGAGGCTGCCAGTCCAGAAAAATGGGTGCTAAATGTAACCGTCGGCTTTCTTATTCGAGCCAGAAAGGGAGAGAGAGAGAGAGAGAGAGAGAGAGAGAGAGAGTAGGAAAAGTGATAACAACCCAAGACAGCAGAAGCCTGTGCAAATAGCTCTCTCTCACTCTCCCTCTCATCTCTCTCTCGCTCTGCCCTAAGCTACCGTTCAAATTTGGGCCACCGCTTTCCCTATCTTTTTGACAAGGCTATCTATTTGCATACAGTCGTTTGAAGGGGAGAACACAGGGGGCAAAAAGTGACCAAAAAGGCGGGGTAAACCCAGAGAAATAGGACTACATGTAAACTAATCGGAATTTGAAGCTTGGCAATTCACGGAAATCAAAGGGGGTTGAAAACTGCCTTCAACGTTCCTTTAAAATGCGTATATGGCTCTAATTGCCCGATATGCAAATCGGACCAGCGATAATCTGGTGCTCTGGGGTGTCAATACCCATTTCACGGTTCCGGATGTGATCCCGGAGGCGAGAGAGAGAGAGAGAGAGAGAGAGAGAGAGAGAGAGAGAGGGAGAGAAGGAGAGAGGGAGAGAGAGGCAATTCAAGGCTACGGGATAATCCGAGTGGCGCGCGGAACACTTGGCGCGCAGCCCTGCGGGTGAGAGGGTCGATGTCAAACAGGGTCTAATCTGTTCGCTCTCTCTCTCTCTCTCTCTCTCACTCTCTGTCTCTCCACTGAATGGTCATAAATTCAGCTGAAGTGGAACACTTTCGCACTGGACCGCAAGCCGAACTTCCCAGTCTGGGTGGTTGCCCTATTATAGGCGTGCAGGGGGGGGCGCAAGCTAGCAGAGATCCTTTAGGAAAGGGAAGGCTAGCAGAGATCATTTGGGAAACCTCTGGCAGGCTAGCAAAGAGAATTTAGGAAACCGCCGGCTTCTCCTAGCGGTCGAAAATAGTCGCCGAAAGCGGCGGAATTGAGGGCGAGTGGAATTCGATTAACGAGCGAAAGAAGGAGCCGCCACACAACGCCTTGGCCGGCAAAAAAAAATCGAAATTTCCGCCTCAGTGCAATGAACGGGAGGAATTTTGATTCGAAATTTAAAGAGGGCAGGCCAGCAGAGGCTATTTGGGGAATGGCGGGCCGAATTCCGACAAAAATACCGACAACCAAAATGACGCAAGGCCGGCTAGCAGAGATGCTTGGGGAGCAGGAGAGGGCATGCTAGCAGGGAAAATTAAGGAACTGGGGTAGCTGGCCAGATAAAAAAATGCAGAAAAATAGCTGCTACACGTCAAAGATGAATAATCATGGTTTTTAGCTTTAAAAACCGGCAAAAATAAATCTATAAACGACAATAAAGTTTTTAAAATTCTTTTTTTGGGCGCTTTTGAGGGGGTTTCTAATGTCCAAATAGCACCAAAATGGCCCTAAACTGGCCAAACATTTGGAACGCCTGTTTCCGCGCGGTTTTCAAGGGTTTTCAAGACTACTTACGCGAAAAAACCGTGAAATAAAGACGTTAAATCTCAAAATTATGGGCCCAAAATTGGGCGTAATTCAGTAGCCCGCCACGCAAGCCGACACCCCCCTAAAACGTGGGCAAACAAATCGCAGGCCGGGGGGCGAGCAAGCGCGCTACCAGGCCGTGGTGGCAAACGGTTGGCAACAAGCACCCCCAGCCACCCAGCCACCCAGCTGTGGATGGGGTGCAAATTTGGAGTGTCTCGTCCGTCTGGTTGTGTATATGGATGCGGGCGTGTATTTGGGCGGGCCTGGGCAACGGCCGGGGGCGCGAAATAGTGGGCGAGACAAGGAGGGCACGCGCGAGATTCGGGGCAGCTGCGTGGGGTGTAAAGAGTGCGGAAACGGACAGCCGAGAGCCGAAAATAGGGCCGGAAAGGCGGAGGAACGCGACGAGAAGCTGGGCGCAGCGAGTAGTAGAGACCGGAAAATTTGAGGACCTAGAGAAAGTGCTGCTAAGTAGGGGGTTTTGGAGGCTAGGGACCCGAAAAAAGACACACCTAGAGAAAAATCTAGCTAACAAGCGCGTTTTTGGCGAAAACGATTCGGGAAATTCCGCTTTTTTAAGCCCTAAAAACATCGTAACGGAAGTTTTGACATTTTTTCGGCGTTAATTCGGTTCAAACACCCCCAAAAAGGGCTCTTTTACGCGTAAAACCCCGCTGGTAAATCGATATTTTAAAACTTAGTAACTTTAATAAGGTTTAAAAAATAATTTGAAGCAGGAACCGCACCGAAGAGCCAAAAGCCCTCGATTAACGCCAGTAACGCGCGGGGAGCACTAGCAGGTCGTAAAATCAACGAAAGGTATTACTAAATTTTCTGCATCACTCTCTCTCTCTCTCTCTCGCTCTCTCTCTCTCTCTCTCTCTCTCTCTCTCTCTCTCTCTCGCTCTCTATTTACCCCCAAACAGGGCAGAGCGAGGGCAAAATGGGGGTCGAGAGCGGAAATTGAGGCCCAGGGTATTGCGGGTTTCCCACACCAGGAAAAAGCCACGTCGTAACCATGGGAATCTTTGAACTATTCCATTCAAAACGGCTTACTTCTTTTTAATAACTATTATTTGTAGTTTATGTTTTCTATCGCGGCAAAGCGCGGTTAAAAAACGCAAAAATCGTTTTTACAGCCTTTTTTAGTGGAAGAAACGGGTATTTTCGGGCTAATATCGATTGAAAAGTACTTACTCATCCTATCCTATAAGCGAGAAAAGTATGTTTGTTTTCTGTACGGCCGTTTTCTCGGCCGTCAGGCCGAATTTCGAGCTGATTTTTGGCATGGGGGTGGGAAATGCCATTTATAAAAAACGGTTTTTTGGATTTTGCGAAATTCTTTGATTTAACGATTTTACAAACAAAAATGTGAAAAATCCTTAACATTTTTGGGTGCGCACGTTGTCCGGAACTTTTCTCGGCCCCTAGAGGGAATTGGGGCCTCATTTTTGGAGGGTAGATGGGAAAAGGAATTCCCCAGATACATTTTTTCGGATTTTGCAAAAAACTCGAAAATAAAGTTTTTATAAGGATTTTTCTGCAAGGTCCTTAATAAATCGCGGAACGGGCCGTGGTGTCCGGGCCATAACTCGAAGCCCTGATGGAATTCCGGGCTGAAATTTGGACCGTTTATGCAATCAAGGGTGGGGATCACGCGCATCGATTATCTTTGCAAATTTTCGACAGGTTCAGGCTCAAAAATCGAATTTTGCCAAGTGACCAGAAGGCCTCCCTCCGGGTCATTGGTCATCCTTATCTTTGCACAGGCCTCCCCAGGACCGAAGAGGCCTTTCCGCATCCCCTTCCCGTGTGCCCCTTGGTGTAATGGATTAGCGGGCGGTCTACCACGTGTAGGGTCGTGAGTTCGGATCCCAGGGCGATTTAATTTTTTGCTTTTTGGTAGTTCGGCAACAAAATATATTTGTAGGCTCTCGCTGGGCGAGGTTGGGGCCTGGCTATCGCTCTAGCGCCGCAGGCCAAAGAAAAGGTCCATGGCTCGGGCTCTCGCGCCGCAGGCCAAATCCTGGCGAAAAACCAGTAACTAGGGCCGCAGGCTCACAGATTCTAGCGGAACGCTGGCTCTGGCGCCGCAGGCCAAAGAATGGCTCCTTGACCTAGGTTCTAGCGCCGCAGGCTAAAAAACGAAGGTGTTCAAATTCATGGTTCCTGGACGGGGTCCAGTGGAAAATGGCCGCGAAGCGGTCTTTTTCCACTGGTCGTAAAATAACTATTCTTTTCGTAGTTTGTAGTTTCGTAGTTATCCCCGAAAAAAGGCTCATAAAACTCTCCGAAACACGCACCGTAAAATATGGTAGTTGTGGCCGTCGACGCAAAAGTTGAAGTGTTTCTCGCCAAAGTTGTCGTCCTGAATGTCCCTGAAATTGGTATTTCAATTAATATCTACAAAAATCGGCCCAATTACCTGTATCTGATGAAATAACTGGTCCACGACGGGTGGCTGCGCTGGCGCAGGTAGGCGCGCAGCACCTAGAAATTGGTTTTTCTACCCGTTTTTACAAGTTTTTGGGTTTAAATAAGCTTTGAAAAGCTGGTAGAAGCCACATTTTTTATTTTTTAGGTTTATTAAGTAGAAATTTTACATATTTATAAGTTTTTAGGGATGTTTCGGGCTTTAACCCTCTAGTTTGGAGCTTTTCCAGTTTTGAAAGGCGCAGTAAGCTTGAAAACTAATCAGCTAGGCCTCCATAAGTATGAACTTTGAAATATGTTTGATCTAAGAGGCTTCTTACGTAGAAATTTTAACTATTTATAAGTTTTTAGTGAAATTTCCGGCTTTAACTTTCAAGTTTTCAGCTTTCTAGCTTTAAAAAAGCGCGGTAAACTTGAAAACTATTCAGCTAGGCCCCGATAAATATTAATAAAATATGTATAAAGCGCAAAAGCGTTCAAAAACCATTTTCCAACCACTTTTACAAACCTCCGAGCCGAGCGGACGCTTCGTGTAGCCGGGGATGAGCCTCCGCGCCGGCGCGACGACTTTTGTGTAGAGTAGCCGGTCCATTCAGCGCTTTTCTTCTTGTTTTGCTGCTTTGTAGAGCTTTGTAAAGCTTGTGAAGGTATATTTACCAACAATTCGTACATACCACAATATTCTCCCGGCCGCTACGCGCCGCTCCTATCGGCGGTTGCCGGGTGCGGGGGTTTAAATTTGTAAACACGCAGTGGTAGTCTTCTAGGTCCCTTTAAAAATGTAGATAGTTTAAAAAATATTGCTGTTCGATAAAACCTTTATCGTTTTATTAGATTTCTATTCGATCACTCTATCCTTTTTCCGGTGATTAACCGGGGCTTTAAAAATGTTATATTATGAAACTGGCGTCTCCGCGGCTTTCCTAAAATTGTAGATAACTAAAAACATATAAGATCCTTGCTAAATTCTGTATTAATTGATTTTATTTATATCCGATTACGCCATCAATTTATATCGAGCGCCCAAGAAAAATGTTCCAATTTTTGGTCGGGCTGTCAATTTCGGTCTCGGTTGGGCGGCTGACCCTTGATAGCCGCCTCCCCGTCCCCTCTCCCCATGTCATTCTGGCCGAGTGGTCTAAGGCGCTGCGTTCAGGTCGCAGTCCTCTTCGGGGGGCGCAGGTTCGAATCCTGCGGATGACAGCACTTTTTGCTTTTTGCTTTCTCGGTGCGGGAAACCACACTCGATGCCTTGTTTTTGCTTTTAAACCGATTCAAACACAATTTTCACTTATTTTACCTTCTCGCGGACCGATACGACGATTGTACCCCGATTTCTTTCTCATCATTTGATCGCTTATCAGTGGTGGAGACCGCAATGGGCGCGCGTCATTTTCGTGTCGCTCTCTCGGCCTGGCCGCGCGTATTTATAGGTTTTCTGGATTTTCAGTATTCTTGCGTATTTCGGTGAAATATTGATTTTGCTGGATTTTTGGTTGATTTTCCCAGCAGTAGACCGTCAAGTACTTTTTTTTCGGGGGAGGTACGCCCGATTTTTCGGCGGGGCCAATTTCCGCCTCAAAACGACCTCCAAAAATTCTAGTCTCTGCGCCCCGGCCCCAAATTCTCATCCCTTTTTGGGCATTGCCATTTTGGTTCCGCGATTCGGCCCGCAAACGTTAGATTCCTGCCATTTTCGCCATTAGCTTACGCCATGGAAATTGAGGTGAGGTGTTGGGCAGTTGATTAGAGAGGCTGAGAAGCCTTGGGAGGCTATGGATTTTTGTTTATGGTGCTTTAAGTTATTCAAAAAAATTGCGTTAACACTAACAAACTTCGCTTTAATATAGTTTGAATTCTACATAATTTGCATACTGCATAACTTTGATTTGCATATGTGTTTCTCCTATATTTTTTATTCTTTCGATTTGCAACATGGCTTCTGGTCGAATTTCGGTATATTTTTGTTCTCTCACTTTTTCTGTCTCTCTCAGTCACGTGCTATCTCTCTCTCCGTCTCTCTCGCGCTCTCTCACGCACGCTCTCACTCCTCTCTCTGTCTCTCTCTCTCCCTCGATCGCTCTCGCTCTCTCCCTCGATCGCTCTCGCTCTCTATCTCTATCTCGCTCTCCCTCGCTCTCTCTCGCACTCTCATTCTGTATCTCTCCCGCACTCACACCCTTTCCAGCAGTGTACAAATTACGCTATGGGCTGGCGGCCGTCACGAGAAGACGTGGTTGGCCTGATTTTGGCCGGCTCGGCGGCGGCGCTCACCTATGCGTATCTTCGACGCAGAGAATCTAGTTTGAAGACGACGGTATCATTTTTATTTCCGGCACCTTTAATCGATCATTTATGCACCGATTTAAGTTGCCTAACCTTTTAATTTCAAATAGAATTTATGATAACTTTATAATGGTTTAGGGTAGGCCCTTCCTCGTCGACTCGAACAAGAAATATTCGGTTAAACTTGTCGCCCGCGAGCATTTGGGGCGGAATGTTGTCCGGTTACGGTAGGTATTTTTGGGGAGAGAGAGAGAGAGCGAGAGAGAGCGAGGGTGAGAGAGGGAGAGAGAGATAGAGATAGAGAGAGAGCGAGATAGAGATATAGAGAGTGAGAGAAAGAAAGTGAGAGAGAGATTGATATAGAGAGACGGAGACAGTAAGAGAGAGACAGAGAGAGGGAGAGAGAGACTTATTTTTCAGCTTCGCCCTCCCAGACGACTGCTATTTGGGCCTCGAGACCGGCCAGCATATTCAGCTAACCGCAGAGGTTCTGTACTCTCAAATCTTTGCATTTTTGCCTTCCAAGTCCCTTTAAAAAACGCCGATCAGATTATTTTTCAGATTGGTGAGAAAAGCGTGACCCGAAACTACACGCCCGTCTCGCTGGTCCGAGAATTGGGCTATTTTGAGCTGATCATAAAGGTGGGAAGCAGCCGTTTGAGCATGAGCAAAAACCAAAACTTGTACCATATCTGGGATTGAGCCCATGGGCCCAAAAATTCGATATTTTTCTAGGTCTACGACGAGGTGGCCGAGCAGCCGGGCCGTGGCGCCTTCTCGCGACACATTGGGAATTTGCCGATTGGCGGAGAGGTGAGCTAGCAGAGATTCTTTGGGAAAGGGCAGGCTAGCAGAGATTCTTTAGGAAAGGGCAGGCTAGCAAAGATTCTTTAGGAGGCAGGCTAGAGAGATTCTTTAGGAAAGGGCAGGCTAGCAGAGATTCTTTAGGAAAGGGCAGGCTAGCAAAGATTCTTTAGGAAAGTGCAGGCTAGGAGAGATTCTTTAGGAAAGGGCAGGCTAGGCTAGCAGAGATTCTTTGGGAATTTCCGGGCAATCTAGCACAGATCATTGCCAACTTTCCAGGTCCTGGTCCGCGGCCCGGTCGGCCAAAACGTGTACCACGGCCGAGGGACCTGGACGGTCAAGAAAAAGACGCAGAAGCTGAGCCTCAAGGTGGGGCAAGTCCCCCCAACCTCTGAATTCTTCTATTTTTAGGGCATCAAGAAGCTGGGGCTGGTAGCTGGCGGCTCTGGGATCACCCCAATGCTACAGGTAAGCATGCTCAGGAAGTGCAAAAACATTCGGCTTAGGCTTAGGCTTAGGCTTAGGATTAGGCTTGGGCTTAGGCTTAGGCTTAGGCTTAGGCTCTCGGCAATGAAGGTGTTTAGACTCTCCACCACGTCGCCAACGACCTCGACGACCCGACAGAGATCGGGCTCGTTTTTGCCAACTCCAGCGATGACGATCTGTTCTTGCAGTACGCTTTTGACCGTTTTTACGTTTGGCGTTTTCGATACGGTAATGCGGCGTGTTTTAGGGAATACCTGGACGCGTTGCGCGAGGCGTCGAATAGCCGGCTGCAGGTGTGGTACACGCTGAGCACGAGCAAGAAGTCCGGCGCGGATTGGCCGTATTCGGTTGGGAGGTGAGCATCGATATCTCTCTTTCTGTCTCTCTCTCACTCTCTCGCCTATTTTCTCTTTTCAGAATCGATCACCCAATGCTCTCTCAGCGCCTTCCATCGCCCGGCTCGGAGACGTTGATCCTCATCTGCGGCCCCCGTCCCTTCGAGACGACTGCCCTCGAGATTTTAGCCCGTGTCGGCCACCACGAGAACAACATCATCACCCTGTGATTTCCCCAGATCTTTGTACAATTCCCCCTTTTCCTACGTCTTCTCGCGAGAGAGTACGTTTTTCCTCTGTACACCCCTCTTTGGTGCTCATCTTTTTGATGGAATATAAATCTAAACCCCCCCCCCCCGCGCTAAGAGACCAGAACAGCGGAGACCAGCGAGAGAAAAGAAGAAATACAAAAAACAAAAAAAAACACACAAGGGGCGGGGCATCAGAATACGGTAGTCAGGGGGCACGCGAAAAAACCAGCCAAAAAGGCAAATACCCGCAAGGTGTGTGGCGTGGAAAGAGTATCGCGGCGGAGTCGGGCGGGGTAGCCGTAGCCTAGGATTTGTGGGAGCGAAAAATTGTTGCGTATTTTGGAGCGTAGCGTAGTGCGCGGTTTTTGAAATTTTGCAAACTTTCCTGAGCGAAAGAATCGTCAATTTCGACGAATTGAACCAGTTCGACGCAATCAACAGGTTCAAGCAGTTCAGGAAAATCCAAGTTCCAAGTTTATGGCGATTTTTTGCAACAGATAGCTTTTTGATAGAAGCCGACGACTCAACGAGTTCATTCTTGAAAACAAGTTCAAGCCGTTCAGCTGGACTTAAGCTTATCCCTGGCTACAAAAATCTACACAAACTAACCGCAACAATTTTTCGACCCATATCCCAGGCTACTCACGAGGGCGGAGATGACCAATTCGGGGTCCCCAAATAGGCGGCCAATACGGAGCAGGTCGGGTCAGAAAGGGGGGAGGGAGGTCTAGGCATTGCACGACATGATGAAGTTCAGCTGCAGCTTGTCGAGGTGGAGCCGGCGGTCGATGATGCTGTGCGCCTGGTTCGGGTAGACCATCAGATCAAATTTGATGCCGGCAATCTGGAGCTTCTCGATGAAGAGGGCGCTGTGTTGGAAGTGGACATTGTCTGAAAAGGGGAAGGGTAGAGAGAGAGAGAGAGAGAGAGAGAGAGAGAGAGAGAGAGAGAGAGAGAGGGTGAGAGAGAGAGAGCACGTACCATCATAGAGTCCATGGACGAGCAACAGGTTGGTGTGGCGGAACTTGTTGATGTCGCCGAGCGAGACGTCACCCTGAAGATGAGGTTAGGCTAGCAGAGAAACTTTGGGAAATGGCTTATCGGGGCTTGAGCCAGGCTTAGGCTCAGGCTTAGGTTGCGGCTTACCTTATCATAGTCACTGTCCTTGACGGCGCCCATGTACCGCTCCGTGTAGGTGGCGTCTAAAAATTAGATGTGCTTAGGCATGGCTTGGGCTTCGGCTTGGGCTTAGGCTTAGGCTTAGGCTTAGGCTTAGGCTTAGGCTTAGGCTTAGGCTTAGGCTTAGGCTTAGGCTTAGGCTGAGGTTCAGGCTTACCATAGTACAAGAAGTTGGTGACCGGGGCCACCGACATGGCGCAGCGGTAGAACCCGACCGGGGCGCGCTCGACGATCGACAACGTCGCGTAGCCGCCTGGAATTCGAGAGGTTTAAAGGGCTTAGCAAGTCTCCAATTCCTAAATGTTCCCTGCTAGCTTGCCCCTCCCCCACAAAAAGAAAAATTTATACCATACGACCAGCCGTAGACCATCACGCGGTTCTTGTCAAACCAGTGCGAGTGGGTGCCGACAAGCTTTCTGAAAGTCTGACATCAACTGCAACATCTTCAAGACGTACACCATGGCCTCAGCCTGATCGTCCATCTCGATGTCGCCGAGGTGGCCGTAGATGGCCGAGCGGTAGTTCCAGCCACGGGCGGCCGAGCCTGGAAAATGAATGTGACGCTATAGTGACCGGGAAGGCGGAGTTTCACTTAAAGGGCCATTGAAGGCATAAATCCATACCACGAGCATCGATCATGACGATGGCCATCGACTGGTTCAGCGCCCACCAGTGGTGCGGCTGCCATGTGGAGCTCTTGTCGACGGCATGCCAACCGGGGCCGGAGTAGCTGGAAAAGCGGGCGATTTCTCTCTCCCTCTCTCTCTCTCCCACTCTCTCGCTAAGCCAAAACGTACACGTAGAGCATGACGGGTAGTGGGCGGGCGTTGCGCTGCGGTTCGTACGGCAGGATGATTTTGCAGAGGGCGGCTGAAAAAGCAAGCTTGGGCTTGGCTTGGCTTAGGCTTTGGCTTAGGCTTAGGCTTAGGCTTAGGCTTAGGCTTAGGCTTAGGCTTAGGCTTAGGCTTAGGCTTAATGAACTTACAGAACCCGTTGGCCAGCTGCACCTCCTCGAAGCGGATGATCGGCTGCGCGTGGGTGGACATGAATTCGGTGTAGTTTGTCGGCGGGGGCAGGGGCAGTGTTTCTGAAAGGGCAGGCTAGCAGTGACCCTTTGAGAATCGAGGGGCAAGCTAGCAGAGATTCAACAGGAAACTGCACGATACCCTGTCGCATCACCCCGGCGTTGATCCAGGCGCGAACGTTGCGCTGCTGGCCGGGCCCGCGGCACTTGATCAGCACCTGCTTCAGCTCGGGGGACAGCTCGTGTTGCTGCAAAGCGTAATACGTTTAGGAAGCCAAGCCTAAGCCCAAGCCTAAGCCTAAGCCATACCTGATAGGTGCAATCCGGAATCCCGCACGTCACGCAGTTGGCGGCGGGCTGGCCTTGCTGAAAATCGGTACTCGACATCTAGCGGGGGATTTCTCACCGCCGTCAAGCTGGTGACGAACAAGTGGAGGTCGGACGGCTCGGGGGCGTTGGCGGTGAAGTAGCTGAACATGTATGGGTGGGAATTTTCCTAATAATCTCCGCTAGCTTACAAAAGTCCATTCGACGCGTCGATACGGAGCAGGTCGGCCACGTCGAAGTTTCCGGCAGGGAGAGGTTCAGGAGTTGCCTTGCCGTCGCCTGCTGAAAAAAAACCGTTGAAGAGAGAGTCGGAGAGAGAGAGAGAGAGAGAGAGAGAGAGATAGCGATATAGAGAGACCCTACCAGGCACATGTAGACGAACAACATGGTTGTAGTAGTTCCCGTTCGGGCCCATGTTGGGCAAGATGACGAACAGCGAGTCGTCGGTGTGGCGCATCGTCTGGTAGTCGGACGGCATGGCCCACATTTTTGGGTATTGGTGCTCGTAGATCTGGAAAAGATTGAGGTATCTCTTTCTCTCTCGCTCATTCTCTCTCACCAGGGTGCAGCGGCTTCGCTGAAAGTCGCACAGTGTCACCGACGTTTCGTTTTGCCAGCGGTTGGCCCAGGTGGCGACGAGGCGCTCCTGGCCGTGCAGCGTCACCCAATTCTGGGCAAACAGGTACCGGTACTCGCTGAAAAAAAGAAGATAAAATTACTCGCTACAAACCAAAAGCCTGCCACAATTTCCTTCGAGAAAAAATTGGATTTTCCAGTTTTTTTCGGGTTGTTATCCGCACCTGTCTTCCCCAGGCAAAATTCCCCAATAATCTCTGCTAGTTTGCCCGAAAAAAATCCGAAATTTTGAGTACCTGAATCCTGTCAATTTCTGGCCCCCACGTCGCAGCCCGACCCGTGATAGCCCCCTCCCCCTCCCCCTCTCTCATGTCATTCTGGCCGAGTGGTCTAAGGCGCTGCGTTCAGGTCGCAGTCCTCTTCGGAGGGCGCAGGTTCGAATCCTGCGGATGACAGCACTTTTGCTTTTTGCCGTAAAGCCCGAAAATATTATTTTTTTTCCCTTTCTCTACCTCGACTTGACGGTCTGGATGTCCATGATGCGGGCCTGGTTGGTGTTGCGGTCCCAGATGGCCAGCTCGTAGACGGGCATGTTGGCGCGGTCGGCGTTTGTCTTGGGGTAGTGCACGTCGGAGTTCAGGGGGTATTTGTCGCCAGGGCTGGAAAAGGAGGTCAACTTAAGCTTAAGCGTAAGTGTAAGCTTAAGCCGAAGCCGAAGCCCAAAGCCTAAACGCTTACTTGTAGGCGGCCAGGTTGATGGGGATCGTCAGGTTCGGCTCGTGCACCGGGTAGGCGATCGCTTTACCGGACGGGGCCCACCTGAAATTTTGGTTTAAAGGGACCGGCAAAGCAGGAAAACAGAAAGTGGTTTACACCCCCCCGCTAATAGTCCAGAGCTAAAAACCGTACCAAATCGCCCCCTTCGACCGGTCGTGAATCTCCTCGGTGTACACCCAGTCGTGCAGCCCGTTCCACTTTGTCTTCTCGCCGTCCGAGATCCTGAATGGGTTACGGTAAGTAAGCGTTTTCGTCGCATTTTTCCACAGTAAAACTCGTAGTCGGGAAAGGGAAACAAAAATTGGGTCGGGAAAATGACTAAAATTATGGGGTTTTTTGGGGGGTTGATACCTGCACGGTTCGCTAGTTTCGTAGGAATTTCTGAAATGGAGGCATTTTTCAAGCCGAATTTGTGGTTTGTAGTCTAAGGTTTAGGAGGTGTAGTTTTTAGCCTGTAGCCCATCGTTTCGAGATATAGTTTGTAGCCTGTAGTCTAGCGTTTCGCGTTGTAGTCTGTAGTTTGCAGTCTATGGCTTCCGATGTAGTTTTTTAGCGTGTAGTCTAGCGTTTCGCTTCGTAGTCTGTAGTCTATGGTCTTGGAGTGTAGTTTTTGGCTTGTAGTCCATCGTTACGGGTGCAGTTTCTAGTCTGTAGTCTGTAGTCTATCGTTTGGGCTGTAGTTTCTATTCTGTAGTCTGTGGTGGCTCGGTGTAGTTTGTAGCCTGTAGTCTGTATTTCGACGCCTTCGATTTTGTAGTCTGTAGTCCCCCAAAAATCCTCCCCCACCTCATCGGCTCGCCGCCGGTCTCGGGCGTTTCGCGAAAGTAGAGCTGCCCGTCTTGGACGAATGCCTAAAAAATGTGCGACAGTTTCCGCAAATGCTCTCTGCTAGCTCGCCCTCCCCCACCAACAAGGTAAACGCACATAGGCATGTCCCTTCGGGTCCCAGGCAAACGTCTGCAGGTTCCGGCCGCCGCCCGCGCCCACCACGTCCCGACGGCTTTTCCTAAAGGTGGGAATTGCTAAATTGAGCTGTCACCATCTCCTTAAAGGTAGAAATCTGTCGAAAAACCCACTTTCCGCCGAGCTCCACAATCTGGTACGTCTTCGTTATCCACTCGGGATTGCGGGACTGAAAAATGAGGATTTGCTTAGGCTTAGGCTCAGGCTAGGCTTAGACTTTGTCTTAGGCTTAGGATCCGCTTCGCATAGGCTTAGGCTTAGGCTTAAACGTAGACTTAGGCTTCGGCTTAGGCTTAGGAAAGGCTTAGGCTTAGGCTTAGGCCTAGGTTTAGGCTTTGGCTTCGAATCCTGACCGGATTGTTGTTCGTCTCCGACGCCACGTAGTACCGCCCATCTCCAGAAGCGTCGCCGAAATTCGACGCCATCGGCTTGGAGGGGGTCGTCTGGTTGTTGGTGACGTCAAGCGTCCACATCTCGTTTTTATACTGGAAAGAGACAGTCCTAAAGAGTCCTAAAGAAACTCCGCTAGCCTGCCCTTTCCTCAAGAATCTCTGCTAGCCCGCCCTGACTTACAAAATACTGTATGTGCTGCTCGTCAATCCACTGCTCCTTCCTGTGCCAGTAGTTGACGACACTGTACGGCGTCGGCACGGGCAGTTTTGGGGCGTTGCCGGAGACTAAACAAAAGATAGGTTACGGTTAGTGTTGGTTTTTTACCGGTACCGAAACCCAGTACCGGTACCGACAGCCATTTTTTACCGACGCCATTTTTACCGGTACCGGACCTCCGGTACCGGTACCAAGTGGGTACCGAGAGGGTCGGTACTTTTTCGGTACCGGTACTCGGCGGGTACCGCCGGCTCGGTACTTTTCCGGTACCGGTACCAAGTGGGTACCGAGAGGGTCGGTACTTTTTCGGTACCGGTACCAAGTGAGTACCGACCGATCGGTACTTTTTCCGGTACCGGTACCAAACCGACCGGTAACGGTACTGCGGGTCGGTACTGGCGGGGTCACAGGGGGCCGCCTTGGTTCCTGGCAGTGGGCCAGACGCGTGGCGTGTCGCCGCGGTGACAGGCAAGGGCCCGCCGGTATTTCTTATCGAATTAAAGCCTATATATCGAAGGCAAGAGCAGAATTTCTTTAGAACAGATAGCAATACAAACCCCAGTATAAATAAATGCAGGAATATGATTTATTTTTGTAAAAAAAGGTACGCAGCGGCGACACGCCACGCGTCTGGCCCACTGCCCTGAAGCAAGGCGGCCCCTGTGACCCCGCCAGTACCGACCCGCAGTACCGTTACCGGTCGGTTTGGTACCGGTACCGGAAAAGTACCGAAGCCGTCGGTACTCACTTGGTACCGGTACCGAAAAAGTACCGACCCTCTCGGTACCCACTTGGTACCGGTACCGGAAAAGTACCGATGCCATCGGTACTCACTTGGTACCGGTACCGCTCCCCGGTACCGATGTTCGGTACACGGAAGAGAATTGGCGGGGTTCGCGCGAGGTCGGCGAGGGGGTTTCGGCAGTACTGCCCCGCCACGGATAAAGGTAAGGGCGAACCCCTGGGGGAACCCTGCCAACCCCCTCGCCGACCCCGCGGAACCCCCGCGCAGACTCCGCGGAACCCCGCCGAACCCCCTCGCAGACCTCGCCGAACCCCCTCGCAGACCCCGCCAAACCCCCGCGCAGACCCCGCCGAACCCCCGCGCAGACCTCGCCGTATCCTGCGTTTTTTTTTGCGTTACCTAGGCTTTTCCTTGCTAATCCGGTGCATTTGCATACCAATCAAGCATATAGAGGCACGAATATATTTATCTTACATCATACAAACATTATAGCACATATCACATGCAGGGAAAGCAGCAATACACAAATCACAATGTGAAAATAGAAAAAAGTGTTAATAATATACAACCCATTAAAAGTAATGTAAAACCTATATTAAAAATACTTCCCGGTTTCCTTGTCGGCCGTGCGTCGTTGCGTCGAATTGCATGGGCCGCTGCCATGGGGTTTCCGCGCTGCGTTGCGCCGCCCTGCAAAAAAACATTGTACAAAAATTAAAGCACCAATAAAAATGGCAACCTAAAGTTAGAGCGTTTTGTAAATATCGAGCCGTTTGCAAAAAGATCTTTCATAAATGCTATGTTAAATACTTTTGCGAAGCCAAATCAAAAGAAAGTATATTATCACGAAAAGTAGAAATAAAAGTTATAAAAGCAAAAGTATTTGCTAAAATGAGCTAAATTAGTTAAATTAATTTATGTATTTTTGTACGATTTTCTTCCTGCTAATATTATATTTATCAAAAAGCTAGATAATTACAAAAGGCGCTCCACTCTTACAATCGCTCGAGTTCGGCATAAACGGTTCGGCATTTACAAAACGCTCGAGCGCTCCAACTTTACAAGTTTCCAGAAAAACTAATCCAAGGAAAACGAACCTGCATTCTTTGAGTGCCATGTTCTTTCTTCTTGTGCAGCCTTGACTTTCCAGGACGCGATGCGCCTTGCGATGTATTTGGCGGCGACGCCGATGCCTATACAACACAAATCAATAAACAAAAGCGTGTAATACCTTCTCTATCGCGATGGATCCGTCGTGTTGTAGCTTGACACGGGCCTGCATGCGATTTACTAAAATAACTATTAAAGAAAACCGAAGATCTAAAACGTACCACTCATGCCTAGTCCTCGGCCGGCATCTCTTAGCTTTCTTTGAACGTCACTGACCTTTTAATTCGCCCTATAATATTAAAGTTTAGGTGCTTCCAGGTTATCGGTGGCCGTTATCTTAGCGGGGGAGGGGGAAAGTAGCGAAATTCTTTTTGTTTAGCTTATACCTTGCTAATGAAAAATGTTTACTCCGTTAAAATAGTGTTTTTAGTAGTTGCGATAAGTAAAATTATGAGAAATTGATACTCCTGTCATAAAATATTAAGGTTTTGGCTTAGTTGAACCATTTTTCATACAATGCAAAGAAAAAACAACAAATTTCAACGTGGTTGATGATGTTTTTATCAATTACGACCTCCGCTAATGGTCCAAAAACACTTAAAGTCAAGTACTGGTCCCTAAAACCAAGAAAAATTTTATGATTGGACCCGTATAAAAGTTCTATCGAAAAATAAAAGCTACCGGCCCCCACTAAAACAACCACCTCCTGATAACCTAGAAGCACCAAAGTTTGCCAAAAAGCTAATTGCGAACCTTTTTATTTGGGCAGCTTCGAAAAGGGATGGCTTCAGAGTTGACCAGCGAGGCAACGTCTTGATTCCCAGACCGGCGCCAATTTTTTACCTAAATGGAACGTTGCATACCTGTCTTTCCATCTATTCCATCGCTGCAGGCGCCTTCTTTGAACTAAAAGAAATAGATTAGTAGGAAGCGATAAGCACCAACCGTCGAAACAGAAACATCTACGTTTGTTCCAGCTTCAAACGGGTCCTCGCTTCGCACAGCAATACCTGGAAAAGTGTGGATTAGATTTGAAAAACGCCAACGAATCCAAAGAAACGTAAGTTGGAGGCAAAGGAAAAGAAAACTTATCAACAAAACCGCCAATTACACTAAAAAGTAAAAAGACCTCGGCGAAATTATTCAAAACCGGCAAAGAATATCAATTTCGAGTCAATTATGCATTATTTTATCATTAGCAACCAAACACTATCGAAAATAAAGACAAAATGGTAATAAAAAAGAAGAAAAACAATAAAGACTGTATCTTTTTGACGAAAAATTTCTAAGTCCGGGATTCCAACACTGGAATACTCTTTACGAAAGCGCCGGGTTCGCGCAGACCTGGCCCAGGTCTGCCGACTGCGCCCAGGCTGTTCCCGGGTTGTCCGGGTTCGGCGGAGTCTGCGAACCCCGCCGAACCCGGGGAACCTAGGCAAAGGCTCGGAAAAACCCCGCGGGGTAAGGGGCCAACCTACGGGAACCCCTCCAATTTTCTTCCGTGTACCGGTACCCGCCGAGTACCGCGGTAACCAGGGGGGGTTCGGTACCGGTACTGGGTTTCGGTACCGGTAAAAAACCAACACTAGTTACGGTAGCGGAAGTCGTTGCGTTAATCGAAAAATGCGAAAAATCATGTTCCCCACTCTTGTTGTAGGTCTCGACGAGGAACACCCAGACAAAACTGGTTGCCGAAGTACCCCCTTTGTCCCCTGAATGTAGTGGATAGAGACTTCTGTTAGGCTTCGACTTAGGTTAGGCTTAGGCTTAGGCTTAGGCTTAGGCTTAGGCTTAGGCTTAGGCTTAGGCTGATGCTTAGGCCTAGGCTTAGGCTTAGGCTTAGGCTTAGGCTTAGGCTTAGGCTTGGGCTTGGCTTGGGACCAGGCTTAGGCAGGCTTAAGATTAAGCTTAGGTTTAGACTTAGGCTTAGGCTTAGCTACCGTACATGGCGTAAAGAGGAAGACGGCGCCGGCGATCAGCGAGCAAATGGCGAGGATGACGATGATGGCGGTGGCCATTCCACGCCAGTCACGCTCCTGCGGGCTGCTCCCGCCCAGCTCCTGAAAAACGGGTAGGGTTACGGTAGTTGGGGGCAAGGGTTCGGAATTTACATGTCGAGACAAGGTGGTTCCTTTAATCGCGCTAAATTTCCAAGATTCTCTGCTAGCCTGCCCTTTCCTAAAGAATCTCTGCTAGCCTGCCCTTTCCTAAAGAATCTCTGCTAGCCCTCCTCCCCTGAATAGCATCCATCCCCTACTTTCTTGCTGCGGGACGACCCGTCGGTGCTGCTCTGATGAGCCGACGTCGATTCCTCATCGTAGGTGTTGGAGTGGTGGCGTTTTGAGGAGCGGGCCGATTTCTTGGAAGAGCGAACAGACTGACTGTTCGTCATCATCGCAGAGGACGGAATAATGGGCAATATTCGCCCGGCACCGAAATATCGTCTCCTCCCACTTCCGGATGCTAATTGCGGCAAGTTGAATTTGAATGCAAAGAGTAGAAGACGGAACTGGTTGAGCCGTCGGAATTTGAGCATTGGCTTGTTTTGGCTTAGGCTTGGCTTGGTTTAAGCTTAAGCTTAGGCTTCCCTTAGACTTCGATTTAGGCTTAAGTTAGGCTTAGGCTTCCCTTCCATTATTCGAACGTCCGCCGGACTCTCACGGAATTTTCTTGGAATCTAACGTAGTTTGTAGAAATCCGATAGGAATTTTGAAGAACATAGATCCGTTTTTCGGGTGTCAATAGGTGTATTCTGGCCAACACCCCAATTTTTGGTCGTACTTGTCAACTCCCCATAAAATCTCCCGGGAATGCGCTAATTTTGGGGCGGCTGGGTCGATGGTTGTAGCTTTTTTTGTTCTCTCTCTCTCTCTCTCTCTCTCTCTCTCTCTCTCTCTCTCGCTCACCTCATCGAGCCCATCGAGCAGTTCGGCGTCCGTCATCCCATTCAGCTTACGGATCCGTCATCAACCGCCCTAGAATAAGAGAATTTCACGAGTGAGAGAGCGGGAGAGCGAGAGAGGGAGAGAGAGAGGGAGAGAGAGAGGAAAGAAAGAAAGAAAGAAAGAAAGAGAGAGAGAAATACAGTTGCTAAAAATTCCCTAGATTTTTGGGGTGCTAAAAACCAGCATTTTAAAGTTGTTAATAGCTTAAACGATTTTACAAAATCTTGAGGTGCCATATTTTTGCGAGCAGAGACCATTGCGGAACCGGAGAGTCCAAGCAGTCTGATCCCGACAGAGGGGGGTCGGTTCCTTCTCCTCAACGGCTTTTGTCCCGAGGAGACCCAGGTGCTGCTCTCTCTCTCCCTCTCTCCCTCTCTCAGGCTCACTTGGGCTCTATCTCGGACTCCCCGGCTTTTCCTTGGGCTCATCCCCGCCCAGCCGTTTAGTGATAGAAAAAAGGGACTGCTGAGAGAGAGCGACGGAGAGGCACGAAGAGAGAGAGAGAGAGCGAGAGAGATAGTGAGAGCGCGTGAGAGAGTGAGAGAGAGTGAAAGAAAGAGAGCGACAAAAAGATCCCCTCGTCCTCAATTACCCACTCCAAGAATACTTTTAGCCCCGGATTCGGATTTCGCGGATTATCCCCCCCCCCCAAAAAAAGCCCCAATTTCTCGGAATACCTCGATTTTTGGGGCCTAAAACTTCTAAAAAAACTAAAAAAACCGTAAAACAATATGATTACCAGCAAAACAAAGCTAGAAAATGAGCCAGAAAATTTTTTTGTGATTTGGCTGTAATATACTAAATTATGCAGTCAATAATGACAAAAAATTAGTTAAGGAATTGCTGCTAGTTTGCCCGGAAAAATTATCAATTTTTTGTGGACTTGGACAACATTTAATGGCCCACACGCCCTGTCAATTTCCGGCGCTGTTCAGCCCGAACCCTGATAACCCCCTCCCGGTCCGCTCTCCCCATGTCATTCTGGCCGAGTGGTCTAAGGCGCTGCGTTCAGGTCGCAGTCCTCTTCGGAGGGCGCAGGTTCGAATCCTGCGGATGACAGCACTTTTGCTTTTTGCTGGAAAAGACCATGGGTGCCTTAAATTTTCATTTTTGGTCCTTTAGAACCTTTTCCAGCTTGTTTTGAACGATCTGGCCTAGGGAAATCACGCAGGGGGACAAGGATCAACTATAATAATTTTCTTGACGCGTCTGTCTGTCTGTCCGAAGCCGAATTCAACTCGAAGGGGAAAAGAGCTAGAGCTTAGCTCTCTTCGGATTCGGATAGAGCGTGGTCAGAAACCCCCAAACTGATAAAAAAATTATGAAAAACTTTTAGTTTAAATTATTAAAATTAACTTTGAAAGTTTTTTCCTTAGTAAAAGGGGTCGGGGACGGAGGTTGGGGTGATTTTGGACATAGTGAGCCAGGTCGCGCGCGTTTCGTGGATGAAAATTTTCACGGGGGAATTCATTTCTTTTTTTCTCTAATTCCATCCGGTCGGTCGTTATTTTTGTTTTTTAAGGGGATTTCGGCTAGGGGAGTTATCTTAAACCATCGGGAAAGTATTTAGGTAGTTGTTGAAGGGGATTTCGGCTAGGGGAGGTATCTGAAGCCATCAGGACGGTATTTAGGTAGTTTTTGAAGGGGATTTCAGCCATGGGGGGTATCGAAAGCCATCAGGAAGGTATTTAGGTAGTTTTTGAAGGGGATTTCAGCCATGGGGAGTATCTAAAGCCATCAGGAAGGTATGTAGGTAGTTTTTGAAGGGGATTTCGGCTATGGGGAGTATCTAAAGCCATCAGGAAGGTATTTAGGTAGTTTTTGAAGGGGATTTCAGCCATGGGGGGTATCGAAAGCCATCAGGAAGGTATTTAGGTAGTTTTTGAAGGGGATTTCAGCCATGGGGAGTATCTAAAGCCATCAGGAAGGTATTTAGGTAGTTTTTGAACGGGATTTCGGCTATGGGGGGTATTGATGGAGGTGGGAAAGGATGTGGTGGAGTGAGACATGTAGGGTAGCCCGAAGGCCAGATGGTTGCAGTCGCGAAGCGACTGTAACCATCTGGTTGAATAATAGCAAACCAAAAATGATAGATCGGAAATTTCCGCACGGTTTCCACGCGATGTTTACAGGAGTGTGGCGTAGTTGTGGGGCCGGAAGCCGGGTGGCGGGACGGGATCCGGGAAAGGCTTCTTCTTGGATTACAGGGCCCAGAGAGTCCTCCTTTTCCATAGAGCTCCAGGGGCGAAAAAGAATATTCAATTTACACCAAAACGCGCGTTCCCCCCAAGAGACCCACACGCCCAGACTCGGATTTCCGCATAATAAACGGATTTTATGCCGGCAAGACTCAAACGATCTCTGCTAGCCTGCCTTTTGCTAAAGAATCTCTGCTAGCCTGCCCTTTCCTAAAGAATCTCTGCAAGTCTGCTGCCGTACTTGGTTGCAAAATTTTCTCTGCTAGCTTGCCCGGCCGTAAATTAAACCATTTTATTTACAGAAAATTCATTACAATACAAATTACATTAGAAAAATTGCGATTGAGGTAAAGCCCGAAGCAAAATTGCACGCTACACCAGGGTTCATCACAGATATGTAAAGCTACAAAGTACAAGGCACAACCGGTTACGCCGTCAAATTCTGGCCGCCTTAGTTGATCCACCGGACAGCCGTGTTGGCCGTGAGGGAGATGGCGAATGCGGAAAAGGTGAAACCGGTTGAGATGGCCGCCCACCACGGATCCAAGCAGAACGGGTAGCGCTCTGAAAATGGGATGTCACTGCGCCTTTAAAAGTTCCTAAGGAGATTCTGCTAGTCTGCCATTTCCTAAAGAATCTCTGCTAGTGTGCCATTTCCTTAAGGATCTCTGCCAGCCTGCCCTTTCCTAAGGAATCTGCGCTAGTTTGCCCTTTCCTAAAGAATCTCTGTTAGCCTGCCCTTTCCTAACGAATCTCTGCTGGTTTTCCTAAAGGTCTTCTGTCAGTTGCCTAGCGCTCAGATTCCAATGGTCTCTGATAGCTTGCCTTTCGGGGTTCCCGCACAGCCCTCTCCGATACAGTACGCCGAGCGGACGCTGATCGTCCGGCTTCCGGTGATGATGTCTAAAAAAAAAGAGACAGGGGACGGAAGCCGAAGCCGAAGCCTAAACCAAAGCCTAAGCCTAAGCCTAAGTCTTAGTCCAACCCTACAGTACCTGTTTCATCCTGCTCCAAATGACGCTTCCGGAAACTGTGGCCCTGGTCGAACGAAATCGAATTTGGGGCTGAGGTGATCAGATCTGGGCAAAATGGAGGCTGAAATAGGTTGAGCTTTGGTGCGAAATTCCCAAATTCTCTCTGCTAGCCTCCCGATTTTAAAGGTCTACTGAAGACCTACCGTAGGCACATTGGCACAGCTCGAAACATTTGTTCCGCTTATCGGCACGTTGGAGCAGATGAGGATGTCGCATCTCATCGTGAGGCTCGAGTGGTCGGGGATCTGAACGAGTTTTGGGCTTTAAAGGGACGGGCAAGGCTTGGCCCATACTCCCCCCGCTAACAGACAAGAGCCAGATTCTTCACCTTTGGAAAATGCAAAATTGAAGCCTGAAGAATTACCTTAAACGCCCACAACTTTGCGGTGGCCACATCGTGATAGGTGTCGTAATGGGGGTGGTGGAGTACGAGAAGATCCGATGAACACCCCTTTGCATCGACCACTTCCACCTCTCTGCCGTCAATCGAGTCACGCACCACGCATTTACGCACGTGGAAACCGTACGCGTCTAAAGTCTTGAAAATCTCTTTGGCTCACCCTCTTCCTCTCTCACTCTCGATATCTCTCTCTATCGCTCTCTCTCTCATTCTCTCTCTCTCTCTCTCTCTCTCTCTCTCTCTCTCTCTGTCTCTCTCTGACTATCTCTGTCTCACCGCCTCTCCCTCTCTCACACCGTCTCTCACTCTCTCTCTCGCTCTCTCCCTATCTCTCTCACTCTATCTCTCTCGCTCTCACTCTCTCTGTCTCTCTTTTTCTCTCTCTAAATCCTTTCTCAAGTGTAAGACCCTAAACAGACTAGCAGGATTTTTCACAGAATCTAAGAATTGGTCTCCCTAGCAGAGTTTCCTTAAGAAATTCGTGACTGCCCATCACACTCCCTTAAAAGACTCACCAGACTCTGGCACCAGCCGCCACTCTATCGCCAAATGTGTGCCCAACTCGGCGGTGCTGACCTCGTCGCCCAGGTCGTGATGGTTGTCGATGAGGATCTACAAAGAAACCTAAACCTGACCCTGCTGCCCGTACCCTCATCTCGACGTCCGGCACCGGCGCCTTCTGTTCGATGCGGCTGGGGACGAGGTGAAGTCTGGAATCGGCTTGGGCAAAGGCTTAGCTTAGGCTTAGCTTACTTAGCTTAGGCTTAGCTTAGGCTTAGCTTAGGCTTAGCTTAGGCTTAGCTTAGGCTTAGCTTAGGCTTAGCTTAGGCTTAGCTTAGGCTTAGCTTAGGCTTAGCTTAGGCTTAGCTTAGGCTTAGCTTAGGCTTAGCTTAGGCTTAGCTTAGGCTTAGCTTAGGCTTAGCTTAGGCTTAGCTTAGGCTTAGCTTAGGCTTAGCTTAGGCTTAGTTTAGGCTTTCGAACCCACTCCTCCAACGCCTCCTCGATCCTCTTGGGCAGCTTCTGCTTGTTGTAGAAGACGCGCTGCTGCTCGCACTGTGCCATAAACGATTGAATGTCCGTGCTGCCGTTCTGCTGGTTGAACATGACGGCGATCTAGAAGATGTCGTGACCTTCAATCGTTTCTTCTGGCACCATCTCTCTCACTCCCTCTCTCTCTCTCTCGCTCTCTCTCTCTTCTTCTCTCTCTGACTCTCTCTATCTCTCTCGCTCTCTATCTCTCGCTCAGTCTTCTGTCGGATAGGCCCCGCCCCTTTTTGCCTTCCCGGCCCCTTTAAAGCGTGGCCCTGACCTGTAGATGATACTGTGCATCCAACGGGTTGTCGTTCTCGTTCCGCACCCCGCATTCCTGCAAACTTTTTGGGTTACTTTTCTAGACTACGTACGCATCCGTGTTATTAAGTTATTTTCAAATTAAAAGTTACGTAATGCTAATTTAAAATTAAAATTAAGTGAAATTAATTCAATTTTCGCGAACCTGATACGGTAGGAAGACGCTGGCCTCGCGGTCTCCCTCAAAAGTGTGCAGGCATTTCGGGTTTGTCTCGCGATTCGTGGCAAAAATCTGTCCGTGGAATGGGAAGACGGTTTGGATGGAGAATTGGACGCCTTCCGGGACACACATCACCTTCGCCTGGCCTGGAATTGGGGAGGTGGGCTAGCAGGGATATTTCTGGAAAGCGAGAGACAGCTAAAGAGAGAGAGAGAGAGAGAGAGAGAGAGAGAGCGGGAGAGCACGAGAGAAAGAGAGGGCGGGAGAGCACGAGAGAAAGAGATATGGAGCGAGTACGAGAAGGACAGCGAGAGCGAGAGAGCGAGAGAGAGAGAGTGACAGAAGAGAGAGAGAGTGACAGAAAGGGTGAGAGAGGGAGAGAGCGAGAGAGAGACAAAGTGAGAGACAGAAGAGCGTGAGAGAGCTAGCAAAGATCATTTGCGCAATTTTAAAGGGAGGGTGACAGAAAAGGGATCCCACCTCGAATGCGATTCGGGATAAACTTGGGCGTAGAAGTCTCGATGAGTGCCGGGGGCGTGTAGACGGGTACCGTACTTTCCACCTGAAAAACTGCTGATTGCGTGCAGGCTAGCAGAGGTTCTTTAGGAAAGCGCAGGCTAGCAGAGATTCCTTAGGAATTAAGACAGCAATCTAGCAGAAATCATTTGGGAATTCGAGCCACAAGACCCTCCAAAAACACGTGCCTGGAAAGGCTGCGGCGTCGTCTGGTAGGGGCGTTCGGTGGATTGTGGCGTAGTGGGAGGGGCGGGGCTCTGGAAAAAAGCCATATAAAAATAGTAATTGAAAATAGACGAAAAGGAAGGGTTAATAAAATTTAAAAACGGGAAAAAGTAGAAAAATACCGGGCGGTACGGTACGCTTGGGTTGTAGTTTGTAGCCGGCGGGTTAGGGCCAGGACGTGGATAGTTAGGAACTGAAAAGGAAATAAAAATAAATAATAAAATCATACAAATAAAATAAAACAACATGTATTAATTCTGCTGTTTTAATAAATTTGAATTGTAATTAAAATTGGACCAAAATCCCGGGATGAAATTTCTAAGTTATTTAAAGCATTTAGGAGAAGGCCAAAAATATCAAAATTTAGAGAAATTTAAAAATTGTTCAAACTTAAATGCTTTAGAATTAAATATTTACGATCTATCTTAATTTAAAATTAAAGAAGGTTTAAGTTATCTAAGCCAACAAAAAATTAGAAAATAATCAGGCCTAAGAAAATCCCCGGATTTAGATGTAAATTAGCATAAGTAGTTTTTAAAAAAATTAGAGAAAAGTAAGCCAAATCGGAGAAAAAATAAATGTAAAATAAAATAAATAAAAATTAGGAACAGCCGAAAGTATTCAAAAAACACTAAAAAAAATTTCTAGAAAGCTGGTGAACCTCAGAAAATCCCTGATTCGGCGGCGGGATCAGATCCTCGTGGCGATCCTGCTCATTTCTCGGGAACTCATCTCCAACCGACGGGTAACCGGGCGTCACTGCGTAGTCTCGCGTAGGGATCGTAAACCTGGACAACACAGACTAGAGCTCCAACGCTACGCTACAATACACACCTCGTGGGGGCACCGGTTGGAAGGGTGATGGCAGATGGAGGAGGCTGGAAGTAGTGGGGGTTAAACGATAGAAAAGCAGGCAGGCTAGCAGAGGTCATTTGCGGAAATTGCAGGGCATACTATTAAAAAAGCTGCGCTAAGCATCAAAAAAATTATTTCTAGCCACCAGCTATCAAAATCGATGTTAGCCAAACTACACACTACACCTTCGGTTGATTATCGTATCCCTCGTCATCACTCGGCCCGGGGTACTGTAGCTTCGGGACTACGGTAGTTGTCGTGGTGGTGGGACGCGGTTGAATTGATGGTGGATGCGGAGGGAGGGGTGGCGGAGCAGGCGGCTAATTTTTAAGGGTTATACATGCAGGATCTAGCTTCTAAAATTAAGTAGGAGCACGGCAAACATTCTACTCTGGCTTCTACAGCTAAAAAACTTTAAAATCGATTAGACGCATAAAAACATATTAAAATATTTCCCTTTCTCTCTCTCTCTCTCTCTCTCTCTCTCTCTCTCTCTCTCTCTCTCTCTTTCTCTCTCTATCTCTCCTTCGCTCTCTCTCCCGCTTTCCTTAGCTCTCTCTTCGCTCACTCTCTTTCTCTCGCTCTCTCTCTATCTGTCGCGCTCGCTCTCTCTCTCGCTCTCTATCTCTATCTAGCTCACTCTTGCTGTCTCTCTCTCGCTCACTCGCTCCCTCTTTCTCTTTCTCTCTCTCGCTCTCTCTCTGCCCCGACGTCCCGAAAAAGCATTCAAAAAATTAAAACTACAAACCTGTCCCCTGGTCGGCGGCTGTTCCCCTCGCGACTTCACCTCCACGACCACCCTCGGAGTCGTTTCGACAAATCGACTCCTCGTGGTACTCCTTGTTGTTGTTGTTGGAGGGGTGTTGCCTGGAGTGTAACGTACTGATTACGACATGTAATTACCGGGTGTATTCTCCTCATATGGGTTATTTTCAAAGGGCCTTCGCGTCGTCTCTTCCGGCGCGTACGGAGGATTTTGCGGGAATGTTGGAGGCGGAAGTGTGGCTATTGGAGTCTGAAAGAAATCCTTCGGTTGTGAAAACCAACCCTAGGCATTATACCGACAGGCAAAAATCCCAAGATTCGGGATGCGCGTGTTTTTGGAGAGTTTATGCGGGGCAACTAACACAAAAGCAATGTTCTAAATGTTCTAAACACTAATACGTTCTAATGTTCTAAAAATAAAACTACAAAAATCTAACCACCTTTAAAGCAAAAACCAAAAGTGCTGTCATCCGCAGGATTCGAACCTGCGCCCTCCGAAGAGGACTGCGACCTGAACGCAGCGCCTTAGACCACTCGGCCAGAATGACGTGGGCAGAGGGGACGGGGCAGGGGGCTATCAGGGGCCGGACTCAGCCGGGGATGGAAACTGACAGGTCGGTACCAAAATGACACTTTTCGGGGCGCGAGCAACGTACACATAAAATTAATTATATCGCGTATCTATATCGCGCATTATCTATGTTTACCTATTTTTAAGTTTACAAGCTACGAAAAAACCTTAGAAATATAGAAAAAGTGACAATTTTCAAGGCTATAAGCTTGAAAAATGCCAGAAATAATGAAGGTACAAACTTGAAACACTCTAAAAATACCTGGAAATTGGTCCTGGGCAGTTGCGAGGCGGGGCGGCGGAACGTCGTCGACTAAAAATTAACTTATAAAATTTTTTAGAGCCGTTCAATCCTAACTATCGCATTTTCAAGGGACTCGCAAGGCAAAGCTAGCTACATATTCACTAATAACGGCATTAAATCGGCTAAAAACAGATTAAATTTTAAAAGCGGCAAACCAAAATTAAACATAAAATTAATTCAAATAAATCTAAACCAAAATTATGTGCACCTCCTCGCGGGCGACCTTGCTGATGACGAGCGTCGGGTGGCGATTGCCCGGCGACTTCGGGTTGTACAGCGAAACCTAGAGGGTGAAATGAGGCTTAAAAACTTGTTTCAACTCAGAATTTCGAAAAATTGGGCTTTGAAAGATTTCCATAAATAAAATCAACAAAAAAAGCGAACGGGCCTGGTGCTGATCAGCGGCGCAGAGCAGTCCAGCGCATTTTGGCGGCAGGAAGTGGACGTTGTTCTTGGGGATGACGCTCACGCCTGATTCGGGAGGAGCGAACGGCTGAAAAAAAACACAACGTAAAATTAAACTGAAAGTGCCGGGGAAGAATAGCTTAACCATTAGCAGAGTAGGCTTAGCATAGGCTTAGGCTTGGGCTTAGGCTTAGGCTTAGGCTTAGGCTTAGGATTAGGCTTAGGCTTAGGCTTAGGGGCTTATGTTAGGCTTGGACTTAGGCTTGGGCTTGGGCTTGAACTTAGGCTTAGGCTTAGGCTTAGGCTTAGGCTTAGGCTTAGGCTTAGGCTTAGGCTTAGGCTTAGGCTTAGGCTTAGGCTTAGGCTTAGGACTTGGTTTGTTAAATTCTGACCTGCTCGTGGACGGGCGTGGGGTAGTAGGGTGCTTTGGTTGGAAGTCGAGGGGCAGGATTAATCTGAAAATCAAAAAATATCGACGAAAAAGCAGAAAAATGATGTCTGCTAGCCCGCATTTCCTAAAGAACCTCTGCAACGTACCTCCTCTCTCGGCTCCAGATACGGTTCCGGTCCCGGATAATCCGGGGAAGACGGCGCTTCCGGTTGCTCAGGCTTGGGTTGATATTTTCCGCTCGTGGTCGGCGTAGCAAGCGTAGGCCATTGCTGCTTGCCAGGCGTCTGCGGCGCGTACGGGGCTACCGTATCTTGTCCATAGTCCAGTCGCGGAGCCGGGGTGGCTACTGTAGGCTGTTCGGAGTACTGTGGCGGAACGGGGGTACTGTAGTCGTAGGGTGAGGCGGCTGGAGGGCCTGGGGTGGCAATTGTGTGTGGAGGAATCGTCTGGAAATGGGAGATCAGTTCTTTTTCTAAGTGATTTCTGCTAGGCTAGACCAGTTCCTAAGAGATCTCTGCTAGCTTGCCTGACTGGCTGCCCTTGAAAACCCAGAAACGAACCGATTCCTGATAAATTTCCGCGGGTGGGACTTCTTGAGGAGCAGTCGGGATTGGCTCCTAAATAAGTAACAAAACATAAATTAGCGAAAAGCAAGAGAGCGACATAGAGTGAGAGAGAGAGAGAGAGAGAGAGAGAGAGAGAGAGAGCGAGAGAGAGAGAGAGAAAGCGAGATGCAGCGAGAGCGAGAGAGCGAGAGAGAGAGCGAGAGAGAGAAAGCGAGATGCAGCGAGAGAGCGAGAGAGCGAGCGAGAGAGAGTGTGAGAGGACAGGGCGAGGGAGAGAGAGAGAGGGAGAGTCAGAGTCAGGCCGAGAGAGGGCGATAGTGAGAGAGAACTAGATAAAAATCCAAACTACCGTACCTCTCCGTAAATTGGCGGTACCGTGGTCGTACTCGTAGTCGTCGTTGGCGCTGCCGGTCGTTGAACATATGCTGATGTTGGCGGCTGAAAAAAATAATCATCAAAGTAAAAAAAATTGACATTTATAAAATTACCGGCTGCTCGTATCCCTGCGTCTGTTCCTGTAGCTTCGGGACAATTTGCCGGGGGTACTGTGGGGGTGCTGTAGGCGGGGGTACGGTAGTGTCGTACGGTGGGGCAGGAGTTTGATATTCTGGAGCCGGTGCGTAGGTGGGACTTCGCTAAAGAATAAGAAAATTGGATAATTGACCGCAAACTTGGGTAATTAAACCGGGCACAGCCGTGCTTTCCCACTCGCCCCCCACCTGGCCCACTGTCTGGGCAGATAGTCCAACCCTCTCCACCTCAATTCGTCAGTCGGTTCACCCCAACCTTCTGACCAATGGGTGTCAGGGCTCCCCTTAATTCCTGAAAATGGGTGGATGGCTCCCCTTAATGCCTAAGAGAAAGCTGCGGCTTGTGAACTGCTTGAAAAGCTTCGGCTTTGCAGTCAAATACTGGCTTGGCTACGTGTTCTACGTAGTCCATATGCCTAAGCAACCGGTTGGTAAGGCTGCAGCCACAGGCGCGGCACTTACGAAAAAGCCCCGCCCAGACACGTGGTGGCCAAAACAAGGCAAATTTCCCTCCAATTTTCACATTGTGGCCCCTCCCCCATCCCACAATGCCTAGCCCCCTCCCCCTGCCCCTCCCCCTCCCTCTCCCCCTCCCCCTCCCCTCTCCCCAAAACCCCAATCTCCTAAACCCCAAAGACGGCCCAGACACCCAGCCCTTTCTTGCCTGTATTCTGCAACCTATGCCCAAAAACATACCGTAGTCTCGGCGGGTGCCTCATAAACATTCCCGGCTTCCGGGACGGCACTTGGCGGACGCGGCTCGGTCGTCGTCGGGTTATTGTTGCTTTCTAAAAAACGGTAAAAAAAAAACAAATAAACGCCTACCGTAACCCCCGGGAGTGGGCGCCTCGTAGCCTTTCGTAGCCTGTGGGCCAGGGTTGTAGTTTGTGGCCGGGGTTGTTGTCTCGAAGGTCGTGTGATCGGCTGCGTCGGGAAAGTAGATGGCGACTGGGCGGGCGCCGGGTACTGTAAAAGATTTGTCTCCAATGGGCCTTGAGAGAGAGTGAGAGAGAGAGGGAAGGAGAGAGAGAGAGCGGTTAGAGATTTTCATACCTATTGGCTGTCGATTGAACTGTCCACGGGGTGGCGGTGGAATTGGGCCATTCTGGAACCTTAGTGCGGGTGGGTAGGGCGCGTTGAAGTCGCTGATCTGGCCGGGGAAGAGACCGCGAGGGGGTTGAGGTTGCTGGAAAACGATAATTTTTGAGAGCGGGCTAGCAGAGATTCTCTAGGAAAAGGCAGGCTGGCAAAGATTCTTTAGGAAAGGGCAGGCTAGCAGAGATTCTTTAGGACCAAAACTTACCTCCGGATACGGTCTATTCAGCTCGACACCTCCCTTCTGCCGATAGTCTGGGATCTAGATTTTACGTTAAAAACGCTACAGTACTCCCTACATGAAAATTCTCGGGTAGCGTATAATACGATGGTGGGCCAGGTTTGGCCCTCGGCGGCCATGGGTTAGAGGGCCAAGAATCGGAGGCCCGCTGCGATCGTAGAGGCATTGGGCGTCCCTGAAAATAGGGTATTTGAATAGTTTAAATCTACAAAATGTTTCTTTTCAAGCATAATTTTTTAGTTTAATTTTTTTCGAAATTTAATTAAAATTTTAGTGCTTCTTAAAATTCCAAAAGAACGCCATTAAAATGAGTTGCCCAGGGCAGGCTGGCAGAGGCAATTTGTGGAAAATCGGCGCATTATCGGCGAGGTGAATCCAGGGGAGGCGAGCAGAGATTATTGAGGAACTTCGGACCAAATGCAGCCTAGCAGAGATTTTTTGGGAAATTCAGGCAAAGGCAGGCTAGCAAAGGTTATTTAGGAAATTTGCTGGGACTACGATACCTGCAGCGAAGTTTTGGGCGGTGTTTTCCACAGTGGACGTACGGCTCCAAATGACGGAAGCAGGGCCGAGAAAATTAGAAGGCAACTCCATCGTATTTTTGGTGGTTTCATCGCTAAAAAAACTATAATGAGAGAGAGAGACAGCTAGACAGAGAGAGAGACAGAGAGAGAGAGAGAGAGAGAGAGAGAGAGAGAGAGAGCGAGAGAGAGAGCGAGAGAGAGATAACAAGAGAGGCGCAAAAGTTTTGTTCAATTTTTAAAGGTATTCCCAAGGCAGAAATCGCATCCATAAACTTAGAAACACAGTCTCCATAGTCCTGTAAACGTGTTGTAAGCCGGAAAAACTGGTCCCGCCGCGCAAAAGCCATATGTGGAGGAAATCTCGATGAGGAGGAGAAGGGCCTGAGGGAGAGGCGGTACTATGGCATTATGGAAAGCAATCCAAAACGGAGCGAGAGAGAGTGAGAGGGAGAGAGAGAGAGATAGACGGAGAGAGAGGCGGTTAGTTTGGATATTCCGCCCGTGTGGATCCTATCTAGAAAAGTCCGACGCGCGTAAAAAGGTGCGCAACGGAATGGGAAAACGAAACCGTTCTTTCATAGGGACTGGAAAGTCGAACGGTTTTACCGTATCCATTTTAATCGGGCTTAGTCAGGCTTACGCTGACGCTTAGGCTGGACTTAGGCTTTGGCTTATGCTTCAAGAAACGTTTACAGGAATCCAGCGGAACTGGTATCCCCTTGCAGCTTTTCGATCGGCCCCTCGAGATTAGGGAGGAACCAGAAATTCTTGTTCTGGCATCCGAAAGCGGCTTTTTAGGGTAGCCCTGGAGAGATTACTGTAATTTTAAAGGGCCCGGAAGTCAGGACTGATATATTAGTCTTGAAATTCGATAAAAAGCCATAAAACCTAGGCGTCGAGCAGCAATTCGGATGCAAATTAGGAGGGAATCCTCAAATCCGAGGGGAATTCCACAAGCCTGCCGGCTTCAGAGATCCGTAATTCCGATAATTCCCGGAAAATCCACCCGATCCCATTATTTGGGCATATTTTACGGCTCTCGCCCCGGGCTGGCCGAGATCATTTAGGTAGATTTGCATCTCGGCTCAGCTGGCTGGGGGATAAATTATTTTCCGAGAGAGAGAGAGAGAGAGAGGGAGAGAGAGAAAGAGAGAGCGTGAGACAGAGAGGGAGAGAGCGGGAGAGAGCGGGAGAGAGAGGGGGAAGGAGAGAGAGCCAGGGGGGCCGGAGAGAGAGAGAGAGAGAGAGAGAGAGAGAGAGAGAGAGAGAGAGCGAGAGAGCGAGAAGAGCGAAGAGAGAGTGCTAGAGAGAGAGAGAGAGAGAGAGAGAGAGAGAGAGAGAGAGAGAGAGAATCATCTTCAATTATTGGACTCCATGACTGTTCTATTTGTTTACCATCTTAAAATAGCCATTTTACGACTCCACATTGTTAGTCATGCTCAGATACTCATGCTATTTCCGCCTTGTTCTCCTTCATAAAAGCCAAATTTACATCCCAAATGATCTCTGCTAGCCTGTCATTACACAAAGAATCTCTGCTAACCTGCCCTTTCCTAAAGAATCTCTGCTATCTATCGACCAAAACACACGCCCAAATCTCGATCTCCATCCTCCCCAAAGATATAAGGTCAAGCCCGGGGCTCCTCCTTGAAAATGACGGATTGGAGTCTCTTCTGTCCTCCTTGAAAACCCCGTCATTTCCTCGCCCCTTTTTAGGGGAGACTATTTCCAGGGGTATTCAGCGGGACGTTTAAGTGCCCCTCTCCGACGAAGCCTTCCGCATAAAATGGCTCAAATTTCAGCTCAACCCCGGCCGGGGATTTTCTTGGGGGTATTAAGGGCCCTGGATAGGACCCAGAGTGGGTCAGATTTTCCGGTTTTTATGGCGTTGCTGGTACTGTAGTTTCTGTCAGGCTTAGGCTAGCTTAGGCTTAGGCTTAGGCTTCGCTTAGGCTTAGGCTAAGGCTTAGGCTTAGGCTTAGGCTTAGGCTTAGGCCTAGGCTTAGGCTTAGGCTTAGGCTTAGGCTTAGGCTTAGGCTTAGGCTTAGGCTTAGGCTTAGGCTTTGGCTTGCCTAGGTTTAGGCTTAGGCTTAGGCTTAGGCTTCCGCTCAGGCTTGGCTTAAGCTCAGGCTTGGCTTAGGTTAGGCTTCGTCTCCGCTTAGGCTTCGCTTAGGCTTGGGTTTAGGCTGAGGCTTGGGCAAGGCTTAGGTTCCGGCTTTGCTTAGGCTCTGTTTAGGCTTAGGCTCAGGCCTGGGCGATTGCATAGGATTAAGCCTAGACTAAGGCATAGGCTTAGGCTTAGGCTTGCTTAGCGTGCTTAGACAGGCTTGGGCTTGCTTAGGTTTGGGCTTGGGCTCAGGATTAGGCTTGGGCTTAAGCCTAGGTTTAGGCTTGGGTACAATCGTCTTAAAATAATTGACATTTTCCTTACTCCCTGATCTTCCGTCCATAGTCTGCTCCCCCGCGAACGGCAAGACTGTAGGGCCCCAAAAAAGGGCCATATGTAGGTGTCGTTGACGCCCGCCCGCCCGGCTCGATAGATAACGCATTAATGGGCCATTTGGGGGCCAGCGACTACGCGCCATTCCTATTGACGCCTGCTTCGGAATCTCTTCCGAATTCCGAAAGGAGTGATACAGATACACCCACACGTTTTTCGGGCCCGGCATACTTTGACCCACGCCAATTTTTCTGAGCAAAGGAATTTAGCAAATTTATGGCATTTTGGTGCTAATTTAGGTTTTAAAGGGGCGTAGAAGGCAAAAAAGGCCTGGAATTTTCTAGATTATTTTAAAGGGGGATTTCAAATCCGCAATTTTCTCTGCTAGCATGCCCTCCATTCCAACCAAAGTTTCCCGCTTGCCCCCTCTTGACTTTACAAATGACTCAGCACTCGGGGTGTACAAAGCAATCCACAAAAACACCCAAAAAATGATAACAAATTAACCCCGGAGGGCGAGGGCAATCCCGAAAAATGTCAGGAATTCCTCATTCGCAAGAAAAGGCGCAAAAAATCATCCCGGTTGGTCCGCCGGACTTTTGGGTTCATGACGAAATTTTCGGGGTTGAGATCTTACTCTCTCGCTCTCTGTCGCTCTCTCTCGCTCGCTCTCTTTCTCTCTCTATCTCTCTCTCTCACGATTCTTCTTTGGGCCATCTAGCAAAGATTCCATAGGAAACGAGCTTAACGGGCTGGCAAGCCTTAAAACCTCTAGGCAACTAGCAAAGACCGTTTGAGAATTCCAATTTTCGGGTTTTAAAGGGCGCGTGAAGCTATAAAGATCTGCGGATCTCTGATTATCTCTGAATTCTTTCTGCCTATTATTAGCACCCCAATTTAAAATAATCCAGGGTTTCTTGGCGGTGTAATTAGGTGTATTCCGGAACGGCCTCGTCATGCTTTATTTCTGTGATTTAATTGTGTTATTAATTGGGCTACCCCATCTCTTGGATCTTGTCTTTAGATTCCGCCGTGATCTCTGCTAGCCTGCCTCAGCCAAAATGGCTAAAAGATCTCTGCACGCCTGCCCTTTCATCAAGAATCTCTGCTAGCCTACCCGTTCCGCAAAAATCTCTGCTAGCCTACCCTTCCTCAAGAATCTCTGCTAGCCTGCCTTTTCCTAAAGAATTTCTGCCAGCCTACCCGTTCCACAAAAATCAACTTCCGTTTCATATAAACAAAATTCCCGCATGAGTATGCATTTCCCGTGCGTCGTCCGTGGCGCTAAAAAAGTGTGAAAAAGTCCATAAAACGGGGCGTGGTCATATTTTTATTGTTGAGTCAGAATCGCGTCTCCCCCTCCCTCACAAATAATAACCCCGGGGTCTCATATAAATTTTTCAGGCGTTCCAATGGGAGACGCATACTTTAGCCTTTGGTCAACTTGGCTTCAGTCTAATATTATCTTTCTAAAGAATCTTTGCTGGCCTGCCCTTTCCTAAAGAATCGCCGCTAGCCTGCCGTTTCCTAAAGAATCGCCGCTAGCCTGCCGTTTCCTAACGAATCTCCGCCAGCCTGCCTATTCCTAAGGAATCACTGCTGGCCTGCTCTCCAAGCCCATTTTCTCAAATACTCTTTGCTAGCTCGCCTGGGCTACCGTAAGCTACGGGTTACGGTATCCGAGTCGGGACGCGTCGAGCTGACAGGGCGACGGTGACGAGTCGAGGGCAGGGAAAGATAAAAGCATGGGCTCTGCCCATCATTTTATCTCTCTCTATTTCTCTGTATCGCTTCTCGCTCGCTCGCTCGCTCGCTCGCTCGCTCTCTCTCTCTCTCTCTCTCTCTCTCTCTCCCTTCATTTTTGGGGAGTGACCAGAAGACGTCAGAAGCCCTCCCTTCCTTCGAATTCTGATATGACCGTCTTGGGTTGTGTCTCTCTATATTCCAAACATCTCGTGGTGTCACGCGGAGTTTTACGAATTATTTTCGGCTTGACGTTGCAAGTCCGGCACGGATTTTTGTGGTTTTTGCTGTCGATTTTAAGGGGTGTCTGCTAGCCCATCCTTTCCTAAAGAATCTCTGCTAGGCTTCCGTAGTATTCTTAAGTGATTTCTGCCAGCCTGCCCACCTTCTTGACCCGGTATTTCCGTTTTTTCCGTTGCAAAACCTAGTCTCTCCCTATTTTTCCGCACTTGCCCTACT